AGTAACTCTTTGTTTTGCGGTCAGGTTTATCTGTTCAACATTGATTCGTTCATTTTATTTTATACACGCATACATTGATTTAGTGCTACTGAATATAAAATAGCCGTTCAATACACTACTTACTGATGTTTTGCTCGCCAAGGCGATCAGTATATCTTTTAACTCAATACCATTCATTTTACGATCAGTATAACATATACAGGGTGTTTCAGTTTATTGTCGCATAACTTTAAGATTCGATAGAACTTTTAAAATTAATGCATAAAGTCTATATAAACATGGGTCGAAAAATGCGTGGCTTCCGAAATACAGGGTGTTTAAATTGACTTACTAAAATAGTTTTTTTTTAAATATTTCGAACAATATTTGATGTATAACAGTGAAAATTGGTATACAAGGGTTTTTTGGTACGACAAAACGAACCATCGGCATAGTTTTACTGTAGCCACTAGAGGGCGCTCTCTATTGTACCTGTAGTGTATTAAAAATTTTTCTTAGTGCAATTTTTTGCTTTTTGAATAAAAAAGCTGATTCTTAGCACTTTTCAACATAAAAAAGCTCTCCTGTGAGTTTTCGTTATAGTTAGCCGTTTTTGAGATATTTCGATTTTTAAGGTTCGATGCATTTTTAATTATTTATGGGAAAATAATATTTTTTTTACATTTTCGATTTGGGCATTACAAGTAATTGAGATGATCGTTTAGATTGTGTTTTTAAACACAGCAATAATTCCTAACTCCAAGTAAACACAAAAAACAGAATATTAATTTGTTTAATTTTCCAATATTATTTTTAACAAATTAAATTAACTATTTACAACTGAAATGCTATTGGATAGTTAGGACAAACATACAAAATCTAAACTAGTTGCTCGAAATGTAAACCCAATTGTTCAATACACAATTCACATCTACGAATGATCGAACGTGGTATAGCGTTATTCAAATAAGGCCTTATTTCATCATATGCATTCCTGATTCTGTCTATTAGCATATCTCTTGTGGTTACGGAAGTCTGGTATTTTTGTTTTTCGATAGAATGTCCAATATCTCAACAATTTGAAATTAATTGCTATATCAAATTGCTTAATTTCTAATTGTTTGAATGTGCCTATCCCAATTTGCAATAAGATGTAGGACTTTCCGTTTCCTAAGAGGCATGTTTGGGTCACAACATATACTAAGTGACATATAAATCCGAACACCCAGTTTAAATGGTTTTATTTTAATAAAAGTTGGTGAATGTATTTATCTTACTGTAAATAACAAGTGAAAAAATTTTCAGCCTTATCAGTTGGACATTCCGGTTTTTATACTGCTTCTTTTTAATTCGCTAACGCTCTAAAAATGAATATTTCAGCCGCAGTAAAGAATCAACGTTGTCGGATTTTGGTTCATAACATCCTTTACGATCGGTTACGATGCCTAGAGTACGGAGACCTGCACGATTTCGTCAACTTAGTGAGTTTGATAGGGGCCGTATAGTGGGACTTCGGGAAGCTGGACTTTCTTTTCGGGCAGTTGCAGTTAGAGTGCAAAGAAGTGTAGACACTGTGGTTAGGTGTTGTCAGGTATGGCTTCGAGAAGGCCGTACACAAAGAGCAAGGGGCACTGGACGCCGCCGTAGAACAACAGACCGTGAAGATCGCCGCCTAAGATTATTGGCCTTAAGGGACCGTTTCTCCATTACCAGGTCCATTGCAAATGAATGGTTTGCAGAACACGGAAGACCTATTGGCATGCGAAGTGTTTACCGACGAATGAGAAGTTTTGGCTTGTTTTCACACCGGCCACACTGGGTCCTCCCTTTAACTCGAGAACACCGAAGTAATCGCCCTGAGTGGTGCAGACAACGGTCACTCTGGAATCAGGAATGGAACAGTATTGTCTTTAGTGACGAGTCTCGATTTTGTTTAGGCATGCACGATGGTCGTGCCAGGGTTAGAAGGCGACGTGGTGAAAGGAGGAATCCACAGTTTTTTGTTGAAAGACATGTTCATCACACTGTTGGAGTTAGGGTTTGGGGTGCTATAGCTTATGGTTCCAGGTCACCTTTAATCTTCATCAGAGGTAACATGAACGCGCAGCGTTATATCCACGAAGTTCTAGAACCCCATCTTTTACCCTATCTTGACACCCTGGCAGATCCAACTTTCCAACAAGATAATGCCCGACCACATGTTGCAAGAGTCACAATAGACTTCTTTCAACATAATGATGTCACATTGTTACCATGGCCACCAAGATCTCCCGACTTATCCCCAATTGAGCACGTGTGGGATATGATGGGTAGGAGATTGCTCAATTTGCAACGTCCTCCTCAGACTCTAGAAGCACTTCGAGAGGAGTTGGTGGTTGCCTGGAATGAGATACCACAGGAGGCGCGTTGGAGAATGCGTAGCACATCAGGGTGCATCCACACATTATTAAAGGACAAAGGGCTTTAAAGCAGTGCAATCATTTTGAAATTTTTATCATTTACTTATTATGCTTCAATAAAAATCAATAAAACCATTTACACTAGGTGTTCGGATTTATATGTCACTTAGTATAATTATGAATCACACTGAATAAATGAAAATATTCCACAAATAAAGAGCATCTGTTGGCTACAATTTTTGAGGTTAACTTTTTTAGATAATAACGCATCCTTGCCCACCTCAGCAACACAACTCCAGTATGAGTACAACGAATTAACCCTTAACGAATTCTTTTTGAATGCCCTGCACCATAATCAACCATAATAAAACAAAACGGATTATCTCACTATCACTGTGGTGCGGTCACAGTGACCGCAGAAATATTTTTCCGCGCTATATTTCGAAATCGAAGCAAGTAAATCACGATGTACTCCACCCGCGTTCTTAAACAGCACTGACTTGAAGGTACTTGGACGCTCGGTGTGCTATACTAAAACTATTTAAAACTTTATTGACTCATACGCGTGATCAACACGTGATCAGAGCTCGATCCCGGCTTCCTTCCAGTACAGCCGTATAGCGTACGACATATGTAGTTTCTGTGGCTTTGCGGTGGTCAACAGCACAGACAGAGATGGAAATAATGGCTGATTGTTCTCCGCCAATGAAATCAAAGACGCGCCTCGACCGGCAGACTCATAGGCGTCGGCAACGCATTGGAACGTGTTTCGTTGAGCGATCGCATATTGTGTGTTTTTATAAGAATTGTTGTGTGATTGTTATTGTTGTGGTTTCTGTGGTTACTGTTTTGGTTATACTTAACCATGGAGAGTACAAATGGCAGGAGTGGAAGTACTGAAAGCCAGGGAACAAGTAGACGGCTTCGTAAAGCACTGCAGAGGGACGCGAAAGAAATCGTGCTCAACGTGTTCAATTATCTGAACAGAACTATGTCGCAGGGAGATGCACTCGCGCGTTGTGAAAGTATGACAGGCGTTCCAGAGTGGACCATTCGCAGGGTGGTGCATGAAAAGAAGAAAACTGGAGCTACTACTGATCCAAAGTTTAGTTTGAAGGGACGAAAGGCCGTGAAATTGGATGACGATAGCAAAATGGCGTTAAGGCGAACCGTACATTCATTCTTCTTTAGGAATGAGATACCAACCCTCAAGGCAGTACATGGAGCGATCAAGGAAAATGAAATTATACCCCAAATGAGCGTCGAGGTAATGAGGAAATCCCTGCACGTCATTATTGATAGAGAGACCTGAAATAGTCGCCTGGCGTCGAAAATACCTACGCGAAATGATTGAATATAGGCGACAAAGCAGAAAAATCTATTATTTGGACGAGACATGGGTAAATGCAGGTCACACAGTTAAAAAAACCTGGATAGACAAAAACGTAGTGAGTAACCGACAAGCAAGCATTGAAGGTTTGTCAACAAGTCTTCGTGGACCGTCAGGGAAAGGTTAAAGATTGATCGTATCTCACATTGGTAGCGATAGTGGCTTTTTGGAAGAGTGTGACTTGATTTTCGTCTCTAAGAAAGGAGGTGATTACCATGACGAAGTGAATGCCAGCTGCTTCGAGAGCTGGTTTCAAGGGGTGCTTCAGCGAGTTGAGCCCAACCCTGTGATCGTCATGGATAATGCTACCTACCATAGTCGTCGAGCCGAACGTGTACCGACTATGGGATCTCGAAAAAGTGACATGCAACAATGGTTGCGCGAAAAAGGAATCCCGTTTTACGATTCATGTGTGAAAGCGGAATTGTATGAAAAAATTAAACAGCACAAACCTGCGAACATTAGTTACGTGACTGATGAGATGGCCCGTCAATGTGGTGTCACTGTGCTGCGGTTACCGCCCTACCACTGTGAACTGAACCCAATAGAGCTCATCTGGGCTCAAGTGAAGGGTTATATTGCGCGCCATAACACAACCTTCAAATTTCCAGACGTTAAGGTTTTACTTGAGACTTCCATACAGCTAGTAACGCCCGAAGCTTGGCAGAATGCTATCCGTCATGTTGTGAAGGAAGAAACAAAAATGTGGCAGCTTGACCACCACATCGACACCATCATAGAGCCAGTTATAGTTAATTTCAACAAGGAAAGCGATAGCGACAGTTTATTACTGTCAGATGTAAGTGGAAGCGTCGATGAATAAAGGTAATTCCCAAATTTTTGACTTACAATATGTTTCAAACCACTCTTTATTAAGCATGTGACCAATCTAGTTCACCCGTGTTAAACATTCATAGCCCGCCTATGAACAGATGTTCACGTGAACATCGATGAGTCATTACAGTTTTAGATAGTTATAATATAGAATTAAAGGACGGAGTAAATTCCAGGGCAGTGACTATATGGTGACCGCACCACAGTAGTTAAGGGTTAAATCAAATTGATGATACTGCCAATACGATCTGACTCTAATTTTTCACTGTTTCACATCACAACCTTACAGAATACCTTAACTTTGTATAAGTAACGTAGCAATCGTTCTCTGCTAATACTTCATATGTAGATACTCACCGCCATATCACCACTAACCCATTTGAACTGATCCTAACCAGGCAACCTGTCCATAGAAGAGAGCATAAAGATACCAAGGGCAACCGTACCAGTGACGGCTGCCCCGGCAAGCAGTGCTGGAAGCGAAGGACCTTTGATGAGCGACAACTTACCATCGGACTACCCATCGGAGTCCCATTCCGAGATCGATGTAGATACCGGGTCATTGCCTGGATCCTCTGCTGGCAGTTACGATAACCAGGTAAAAAGTAGTAGTTTACTGATCACACAATACGTGAAGCTGCTGAAGCACTTCATCAACAACCTGGTGTAATAGGCGTAGACTCACGCTTGAGAAAAAGAGTTACAAATGAACCACCGCGCAGTCACACACAGCAAATGTCTTTTTGGTGTTCAAGTTAATTCATCGTGTGTTAAAGTTGATTCGGGGAAGATTGTCTACTTTTACGAGGGATGTCTTTTAAGTTTTGCATATGGAAACAAAACAACACGGTAGGTAGTTTTAAATGACTTTATTGTTTTTCGAAGTATTCTCCACGAAGATTAATACACATCTGCACGCGCTCGAGCCAATTTTTGAAGCACTTATTCCACTCGCTTGATGGCAGATCCAAAACGGCATTTTTGAATGTTCAACTGCTTCTTCTGGTGACTGGAACCTTTGACCACGCAGTCTGTTTTTAATTTTCGGGAAAGTCAAGAAATCGTTAGAACTTAGATCGGACTATATGGAGGATGGACCTTTGCTGTTCTTGAATTATTCAAAGTCAGTAGTCCTGTCAGGTGGAGGGGGGATTGTACGATTGTTAATTTATTTTCGTCATGTTTTATTGCTTGCTTCAGCTTTGGCGGACCCTTGATTTGAAGAAGTATTTTGGTGGTCTAATTCTAATACCCCGTATCTGCAAAAAATTCAAATGTTACTTCTTTGCGTTACAATTTTATTTTTCGCGCCATTCAGTTATACGCTTATTTTTATTCTACTAAGTTAATAGCGGTTCTGTTTAGGTTAGGATTATATTTAGCACCTTACAAAATAAAAAACCCTCTCCTGAAGAATACCGATCCATACAGTTACGGGGTATTAGAATTAAACAGTAGATTCAACTGTTGCGGCTTCCAAAACCTGTGCCTATGATTACAATAAATGTTGTGCTTAAGATATATAAAACTAGACTTACTTAGTGCTAAAACATCGTGAGTCCATAACTGATTTCCGGGTTTCATCCGTTGTCATTCAGTTTCATTTTTTTGGAACACAATTACAACATTAGACTAAAAAAGGTGACCCTGTTTCTATTAGTTCCTTGAATATTGAATTTGTAGAACTTGCCAGATTTTTGCACTGATTTGTAAATATGTCAGTTATTTTTCTGGGCATTTTCGCCTCTTCACGCAAGTCGACTTCACGTGAAACTAGAGTAGAAAAGTATTTTTTGGTTTATCAAATGGTTCACCGTCAAGATACCCATTGCGTCATGAAGGAAGGAACTAACTCATTTTTATCAACTTAGATCGGCAAGTGGATAATTTTCATATCACTTGAATAATACATTAATGTATGATGAACATTTTTTAAGCTAAAGACCGTATCGTCAGTCGTTCCACAATTGTAGGATGCCTTTATGGACTCCTTGATCCTCATAGTCTTTTCTCTCCAACAGAAAGGCTGGGTTACTTCTAGATTTCTACTGTGCCATGTCAGAGTCAACGCTCTCCTATTGTGAAGCTGTTTTCTTTTTGAAGTGTAGGAAATTTGAGGCTGATATAACACATGATATAAGCCAAAAGCATAAATAATTTGATGCAAATATATATTTGTAACATAACCTCAAAATAGAGCACTGACATGGAACAATAGAAAACTATGCAAATCAAGGAGGCGTTCTGCAATTGTAAAAACGACTGACCATATGACCCCACAATTTTTTTTTTCTGGGCGCTACAGCTCTACTGTGATTTATTTTTCTTCGACTGTCACTGTTTGTTTAACTAATAAATTATGTTTCAGGCCTACGTACACGAAACCAGCACGTTCTACAGCGAAACAGTTGCAACACCATCACCACCTAGGCTGCCAATCGTAGAGCCGAAGTTCGATGTTCAGGTACGTTAATTTACTATTAAATAACATCCTCCAATTATATCATACACTAGACTTTATCAACAACAGTTTACACTTTTGGAATATTGTTACTATCGAGCTTAGGCTTATCAAAAGATTCGTCGAGAAAATCACATCTTTTTACAGGGTGAGACAGAAGTACCGGAATGCCTCGATAACTATTTGGAAATGCAATTGACGGGGAAATGCTTCAAATATCGGTCGGTAACCTCGAATTTGATCTTGTTTTGGATCTTGAAGGTTATTTGAAGGTCAACCTTCTTTTAATTCCGGTAGTAGAACGAGCGGAAAATTTCACGTTCTAGCACGATCCTGATTGACCCTCATATTCAACCTCAAGTGATCCCTCTAGGTCCACCTGCTACTAGTGCTGGATACCGATTGCCCTTCCGGAATGCATTTTAGGAGAAAATACTTAAAATAATAGATGTAGGATTTTTCTCCAGCTATCAGAAAGCGACCTTGAATTTGATCTTGACCCTGAAGGTTATCTGAAGGTCAACATCAATGTTTTAAATGTAAACTCCTAGTCTTGACCCGGCAGTGGAACGAGCAATATATTTGTGCTTAAATGACCTCCCGGGAAATAGGGCAAGGATGATACTCCCGGCCAACTAACGCAATTTTAAGAACCTTGGTAACATGGTAATAGTTTAGGCAAAACTATCACTATGTGACCGAAGTCCTTAGCCTTGCATTAGTTGGCCGGGACCATCATCTTTGACTTACTTGCCCCGGGGGTCAACCAAGGTCAAATATGATGGACATTCAAGGTCATATTCAAATGTAAAATTTTTTGCTCGTTCCATAGGCGGGGTCGAAAATAGTTGGTTACACTTGAATTATCGAAGTTGTCAAGCTCTAGATCAAGATCTAATCCACGGCCACCTTCTGATATCTGAGGAAAAATCCTACAACTTTTTCCCCTAAAATGCATGCCCGACGAGCTATCAATATCCATCATTAGTGGTAGTTTGACCTTGAGCAATCATTTAAAGTCAAATATGATGATCATTCAAGGTCACGGTTGAACGTATAATTTTCCGCTCGTTTCATTACAGGAATCAAAATTGGTCGTTCATATTTGGAATTTGGCCTCCAAATAATCTCCAATTTCAAAACGAAGATCAAATTTAAAGCATTTCTCCCTAAAATATATTCCAGACGAGTTATCGATATCCAACATTAGTAGCAGTTTGACCTTAAGCGATGGCTCAAGGTCAAAGATGAGGATCATTTGAGATCACGTTTGAACCAAAAATTTCCCGCTCGTTTCATCACCGGGATCATAAGTAGGAAATAACATTTAAAATTTGAAATTTGACCTGAAAATAACCTTTAATTATAAAACCAAGATCGAATCCAAGGCCACCGACCGATATTTTAGGGATTTCCTACAACTTTCGTTTGAAGCATTTCCCCTTAAAATGTATTTCCGACGTGTTACCGATATCTAGCATCAGTGATAGTTTGACCTTGAGCGGTCAGTCAAGGTCAAACGTGAGGGGCACTTGAGGTCACGTTTGAATTTAAAATATGCCGCTCTTTTCATTATTGGAATCAAAAGAAGGGGTTTACGTTTGAAACTTGACCTTCAAATAACCTTCAATTACGAAACCAAGATCGAACCCAAGACAGCCGCCCGATTGTTCTTGAAAAATCACCTTCATTCGAAGTATGTCCCCTAAAATCTATTCCAGACGAGTTATCGATATCCAGCGTTAGTGATAGTTTGACCTCAAGCGTTGACTCAAGGTCAAAGGCGAGGGTCATTTAAGATCACGTTTGAACTTAAAATGTCTTGCTTGTTTCATCGCCGGAATCAAAAAGTAGGCGTTTACATTCAAAATATGAAATTTGACCTGAAAATAACCTTCAATTACAAAACCAAGGTCGAATCCAAGGCGACCGACCAATTGTTCAGGGAAAATACTACAACCTTCATTTGAAGCATTTCCTACTAAAATGTATTCCTGACGAGTTATCGATATCCAGCATTAGTGGTAGTTTGACCTTGAGTGATGACTCACGGTCAACGATGAGGGTCATTCAAGATCACGTTTGAACTTACCCGCTCGTTTCATCACCGGAATCAAAAGTAGAGGTTTACGTTTGAAATTTGAGATTTGACATGAATCAATTACAACACCAAGGTCGAATCCAAGGGCGCCGTCCGATATTCTTTGCAAAATCCTACAACTTTCATTTGAAGTAATTCCCTTTAAAATGTATTTCTGACGAGTTATGGATATGAAGCGTTAATCGTGGTTTGGCCTTGAGGGATCAGACAGGATCAAATATGAGGGTCATTTAAGGTTGCAATAGCTACCTGGCGTTCATTTACTTCCTTATCACCATTTTAAAGTTCCTGAAATAGTGTGATTGGATTTCTTTATATTCAGTATTCCAAATTAAACCATTTCATGTGCGCTTGGTTAAACTGTTTATAATCATGAACGATTCTCTTTCAAGGTCATATTTACCTTAACAAAGAACGATTAAACTGTTCATAATTTCAACATAAAACAGGTTGTATAACGACACTAAAACATCAAAAATCCGATATTAGTATATAGCACATAAAACAACAACACATATGCACTTCAGAGCCAGTACACAATTAACTTCAAAATGCCCTACACTTCTTCTACTAATTCTGTAAATACCCACACACCATCTAACTCCATCCACAGGTGCGCGTGAAGAGAGCGCCTCCTTCGCCGCCAAGCATCTCCATGTCTGAGTCGGAAAGCACAAGGACCGAAAGGAACCTCTCGACGATCATGGAGCAGCGTGAAGAAAGCGTCAGGTCAATATCCCCGCCTCCCACCGAGAGGACTCATTTCACGTACGTTCCCGAGTTGCACCCTCCTCCGAAACACATTCAGCCGGCTCCTACGTACAACAGAATCCTCAGGAGGCAGGTTGAGATGCAGGAGGCCAGGTCGATAGCCTCGTTGAACACCGAGATGACGGACACGCACTCCATGACCGAGATTGTGGATGATTCTCATCATAAGTTCATTGCGCCTACTCCGCCTCCCCCGCCTCCCATCATACCCAGACAGGAGTACGTCGTGGATATGGAGGAGCCAGCGTCGTTGGAGCCGCCTATTGCCGTTGTTCATAAGCCGGAAATAACAGCTCATGTGGTTCGTAACACTTTTCATTGCATTCTCGTATCGTAGGATTTTTGAGGTTTCGCTGAGACTGGTGGTTTCTCGTAATACTGGCATTTAGTAAGTTGGGATGTGCGGGAAACTCAAATATTTGCTTAGAAGTTACTACGACTAGGCAATATGATTCTTTTGTCACTTTAAGGAATCGGAATTTGGGGGGAGAGAAAAATAGGTATTTGAGATATTATTCCTAACATTTGGTACTTCAGTAAAATTTATAGTCAATTTTAACAAGTCCCGACAGTACGAGTTATCGAGAATGGCGTGAATGAACGAAATAATTAGGTCGATTTTCCTTCATATACATATAAAAAATTCCTAAATTCTAATAAACATACGTGGGTTTTTACCTTTTTCTGTCACTCAGTATAGTTTGTTATTATCTTGTCTTCAATTATCTATAATCAGGAATATAGCAATAACTACTCAGGAATATTAAGCATTCTTCTGGTTACAGATCTAACAATCTAAAAGAAAATGCATCCTTTGAGTGTAAAGTGTAATAATAACTGAAGGAATAATAATTCGAAATATAAATAAAATAACTATCCTTGATCCATGTTACCCCACTTCTTCATAACAGTTTGAAAATGTTTATCTTCCATATTCGATCAAAAAGTTACATTTCGGTTTGCGCAAATTTAATCACTCAGCATTCAACATAACCATTGTAATCAAAAGCATTCATGTTTAGGTTAATAACCAGTTACCAGATAAGCTTTAACCGTATCTTACATATCAATTTAACGTCAAAGCGAGCATAACATTTAATATCGCACATCTCTCTAATACCATGGCCATACCTTAATAGACTTTTATTGACTATAACATCTGAACTTCATAATAAACCAAAAGTAACTCACAACTTACATTAGAATTATGTGACTTCCAAGCTAAGCTAAGCTAAGCTAAGCTCGCTCAGTATAATGCTCAACAACTGCAGAAAATGCATCTCATTGCCTGAATTATTCAAACAGATATCTAATTACACAATCTGATTTAGGTGGACGACGTTTTTCTGAGAACGATAACCGAGAAGAAGACGATCGAAGACATCGAAAGACACAAACGGCTGATCACCGAATACCACACCCGACCGAAGCCCGTCGAAGATCAGAAGTGGGATGTGACCATCAAGAACTATCCCGAAATGCCGGAGCCTCCAGAGTGGGAGAACTTCTCTGATGTCTCCTCGGCTTCTGCTTTAACATTGACTCCAAAACTGGAAAGAGCCAACTTGAGTTTACCGCCGCAGAGCACGATAGTTGATAACAAGCCCAGGCTCAATGCACCTGAAATCGTCGCCAACGTTGGATCGTCGCCTCCGCGATATACCACAACTCATACTACGCATACGACCTCTATGGACATTACAAGTGGTATGTTTCTTTAGCAGTTTTCTCCCAATGATTTCGATTTGCGTCATCTGATTTGGATAGTTAGTACCTATACATATGTCACTTTGAAAATAGTTTTTCAATATGTCCCACCTCTGTTCAAGACTGAAACGATTCAGTGCTCACAGCGTAAGTTTGACACAATATATATGTCAATATGTTGAGCATGGAAGTGTTACCAACTGTCAAAATAATACCAGCCTAAAAAACAACTAGGGCTTCACAATACGCAAGACCTGCCAGACCAAGACGTAGTCCAAGACTGTGTTGCAAAAACTACAAGCCCAAAATATTGGCAGCTTACAATTTCTAAATTGCATTTGTTTAATGCTTCTAAAAAGTTAAGCTTTCAAAGAGCATGCGAATATTTTGGCTCTTTCTTGGAGGTATTTACTAGACAGTTGAAAAATAGTAGGTTTATTTACAAAAGTTTTGCGTAATTGGTGTAATACTCTGGAAACTCATCGATAGAAAGCTTACACAAAAAACTTCGTTTTTTATACAGGGTGGCCAACGAAAAGTTCTCGCCCCCATTTGTGACTCTCCTGATGAATTTTGGGAAAAACGCTTGTACACGTCAATTTTGATTTCTAGGTTGACGTCGTTTCATCTATTGCCATACAAGACAGGGTGATCCAAAAATAAGATGTTGCATTGTTACACTGATAGTAATGGAATGCGCGGCAAAAAATAATAATCGTGGACACCAGCAAGAACATTTATCAACAGTCAGTATCATCGTTTGTCATAGAAAAGCTTTGTCCTTCATTTCAAATTGTCAAGTCAAGATAAATTTTGAACAATGACTTATTCAGTTCAAGAAAGGGTAGAACTAACTGTATTGCTAAACTTTGACGTGCGTGTATAGTGTGAGTTGTTTTTCGTTTTTTAATACTCGGAACCTTATTTTCAATTTTAAAGTAAAGTTTTGTTACTATGGGGACTATATTGATTATTATTTTTACGATACAATCCTTTATTACCCCAATTTCTAGAATTTTAGTATAAACTCAAATAGCTCCACAGTGATTGAAGATAGGTACAAGCTTTATTACACAATTTTTTTTAAAACTTATTGGAAAATTTCAAAATTGAAGAAATGGGATTTCCATTTAAAAATCCAAAGTGTCTTATTTTTGTATTACCCTGTAATGCACAACTGTAGATGAAAAACATCTCTCTAGAAATCAAAAATGACGCAGCTGAGTGCTATTCTCAAAATATACCAGGAGATTCACAAATAGGGGTACGACCTTTTCGAGGGGCCACCCTGTACATATATTACACAGTGAGTTTTTTATAATGCATCACGAGGATTTATTTTATATAAATATTTACTTTGCATACTCATCGTAACCAGAAATTCTGTGTTTGACAGCGACTTTGGTAGTATCGGAATATTTTGGACATATTTTTTTCAAATATATACAAGTGCTGATCACAGTCATAGCTAACAAGTTGAGTCTATTCTGAAGCATTGTACTTCTGAGTCAAGTTTCAATTTGACGCGAAGAAGCAAAGTTTTCAGCAGTAGCGTTCGTGGCTGGAAATATACAAAGTACGTGAAGCAAAGTGAGGAGGTGGAGGTATCTTTGTCACGATCTTTTAATGTTCCGATGGAAGATGGTACCCTGAATTTCTGGTTTTTTACCAAGGTTTCTTGTTTGTTTCTATACGAAAATACACTATCGCTTACATCTCTCAAAGATTAGCTCTTGCAATGTAACGCCTCGCAAACAAGACTTTCTTCTTGACTTTATTGCAGTAGCTGAGGATTCAGTTTTGTACAGGCAATTCTTCACGCTATTCGGTAATGAGAGAAGTTCTGCTCCTGTGCGGAGTTGATGCTTTCACACTGGGAGCAGCTTTTGTGTTTTATAAAATTCTTCAAGTCGAGTTATTTTCACTGCATACATCCACGCACTGAGTGTCCTACATTTTTTGAGTGTACCGGAATCCTTTCTTATGTAGTAGTAGTAGTAGAAAGATTTATTTAGCACATTTGGCTACATAAACAGAATAATTGTAAACAACTTAGAACTAGTAAATTCAAGCCATATGTGTATGATGTAAATGCTGGGCAACCTATAATTGTAGATTTAACAAGTGATTTCTCAATTTTACTTTAAATTTTGTCAAAGCTTTCTGGTCTTTTATCTCCAAGTATAATTTATTATATTCAATCAACCCTTGATGGAATACAGATTTGTAGCATATGTTATACTTTTTGGTCATTAAATGGAACTCATCTTTATTTCTGGTATTATGTAAATGATGGTCGACATTTGATGATGTTAAATTAGTTAGACTTGATGGAAATATATTATTTTTTACTTTATAAATGAATATCATTACAAGATATTTGATAAAATTTTTTACATTGAGCCATTTTAATTTGCTAAGCATTTGCCTAATTGGAGTATATTTATCTTTATTTAGTATTATTCTCATGCACTTATTTTGTAAAATTTGCAGTCTTTCAAAAATGGAATTATTTGCTAAATATAGAATAGTCCAACAGTACAAGAAATTTGGAAGAATGATGGTATTATAGATAATTTTTCTGCTATATGAACTCAGACATCCAGAAACTCTCGATAAATATCCCACTTTACTACTAATCTTATTTATAACTTTTTCATAATGAATATCAAAAATTAATCGAGAGTCAACAAAAACCGCCAGGTATTTAAAATTTTCTACGAATTCAATATCTTCACCATCAATATTCAGTTGAACATTTGTACATTGTTTTTTTTCCGATTAACAAGGCTTTCGTTTTACTTGCATTTAATTTTAGTCTGTTAAATGCTAACCATTTTGAGACAAGCTTCAAGTCTTCATTTATATAAGAGATACCAGACTGAATATTTTTAGTACTTATATAAATCATAGTGTCATCGGCGAAAATCTGAATTTTGCATTTTTTGACTATGGCAGGTAAATCATTTATGTATAAAATAAAAAGAAGTGGTCCCAGGATACTGCCCTGTGGAACACCCAACGTATTTTCAATTTTTGATGAAATATGCCTTCAATTTACCTAACAAAATATCTCTATCAATCGTTTCAAATGCCCTCTTCAAATCCAAAAATACTGCTATGACAACTTCTTCTGAGTCTATGGCTCTTATCCAATTCTCAGTTACCAACTGGAAAGCTGTTTCTGTGGAATATTTTTTTCGAAAGCCTGCTTGCGCCTCCACTAAAATTTTGTTTTCTTCTATAAACTGCATTAATTGGTCATGCACTATGGACTCTAATAATTTTTCAATGTCCGGTAACACATTTACTGGTCTCATATCGCTGCACCTTTTAGAATTTTTTATTTTGGGAACTGGTGTTATTGTAGAGCATTTCAAATTTTCTGGGAAAGAACTGCTTCTCCGTGAACAATTGATTCAATTTAATACAGGATATCCCAAAATTTCGAAACAGTTTTTCAGCACGTTTTTAGTAGTGATTTCGGCACAGTTGTTATTTGATTTTAAACTGTTTCCTTTTTTTCTTAGATAATTCAATGATACGCTGTGAAATTTTGAAAGTGTATGCAACATTTCCCCCTGGAAACTGATTTTCATATAGTCAGGTGCAGCATTGGCAGTACCCACAATATCAACAATACTTTCCACAAAATATTCATTTAGTTTGTTTGCAATCACCAAAGAATTTGTTTCGGTACCGTTTTCGAATTGAACTTGATTTACACAATCATGCGGCTTCGAATTGATCAGTCTTTTTATGCTCTTGCTTTTCCTGAATAAATAATCTTTATTGGGTCTGTAGATCATTTGTCATGACATAGAACACGTCAAGGCACTCTATCTTGAAAACTACCAAAAACATTACAAAGCAGATAAACAAAAACAGAAACAGTACACATACGAAATATATGACGGTCACAAAAACGATGAACAAATATACAACACAGTACATATTAAAATAAATTGACCAAGTTAAAATACATAAATAGAATACAAGAACAATAAATAATATGCTACAGTCGAAAATGTATATGAAGTAATACAGAGCTTACATTTGAAATAGTTAAACATATCTAAGAAATACTCGCCCAAGGAATAGTACGATCTGTGTCTTAATAGAGCTTTGAGGTTATGTCTAAATAATGGCATTGACAAGGTTTTAAAGGTATTTGGCAATTCATTGAACAGCCTAATAGGCATTTGATTTGGGCTGACTTCCATTCTTGACATCCTATGAGCAGGGATTTGCTGGACAAGCGAATTCCTAGTCGAGTACTTATCATGAGCATTTAGAGACCTACAAAACCCACAAAAAACCTAAACATACTCTTCAAAACCAAAGTAAACTCAATCTTAAGTTCGCGTTCTTCAACTATCCTTCCCCACCATAAACTCTTCCCTTATGCAAAATCAATCTTATCTTTCTTCTTCTAGATAAGACTACGATGGAGCGAACTGATTACCTGCGGCAATACAACCTTCCGGTTGAGAACCCCGAGGTGCCCAACTGGGACGTTCTGATCAGAGTGTTCCAACCCACCGAGCAAACGGAAGACATAGTGATCGAAAGTGCCGAAACGTTCAACTCGCAACTGACCACCGCGGACAAGATGAAGTGGAGACAGATCATAACGACTGAGTCCACACTCAGGACAATGCTTACCGAATGTGTGGTACGAGAAGACTTCGAAAGGATACGACAAGATACGAGGTGAGGATATGCTTTATTTTAAAAAACCAGTTTTAACTGACAGCCTGCTATTTTCACTTCCGTTTATTTATCGACCGCTGATGGTGCAGAGCACATGTGGCATGTCAACTGCATGTATTATAAAATAACCAATACAGCTTTGGTACAAGTATAGTAAAAAATACAAGTTACAATAGGATTAAAATACACAGGCACAATATAGCACGCAGTGGAAAGAACACTTTAAAAATATAACGCCTCATATTTAAATACTCAATTTAACTGTAAAATGTATTTCATAAGAAAATGTTTCACTAACCGTTTGAACGTCTTGATCCATCTGATACCTTGAGGCAAGTTATTAAATAAGGCTACACAGTTGTAGGAGAGAGATTGTTCGAAGTATGGGGTAGAATGCTTCTGAACAAACTTGATATTATCGCTTCGCGTGTTATACTGACGATTTTGGGATAGATCAAGAAATAAATCATGCCTTCCTTGCAAAAACGTAACGCATCTAAGGGTTTAGATCAGAGTTCCCCAAACTTTTTTGTGTCGTAGACCCCTTGCCATGTTTTTCCGTGTTGGGTAGACCCCCTACTTACCTGATATTGATTTCCTGTAAATTTCTAACTGTAGTGACGTTAAGTAAAAACACATGTTAATTTATACATTTATTAATTGAATTTACATTAAAACTACTCAAAATAAAATTTTGTATCTGTTATGTAAAATATACGTAACATTAAATAAACAGGTGTCTGACCAATAAATGCCCGCATTGGGAATAAGTGCCCGCATTGAAAAAAAAATGAGGGATAAAATAAAAAAAATGAAAAATAATAAAAAAAAGTTTTTCACTTAAAATAGTACAATAAGTGAGTTCGTCTATTAATTATAACATAAATTATAATAATTTCACTGTTAGTTTGATTGAATTCCGCTTCGTATACGTTTAAGTTATCTAAAAATAGGCAAATAATGGATGAAAAGGATGAACCTGATGCTTTAATAATAAATTATCAACATTTGGCGTCAATTTTGTAAGGGTTAATCTTAAATCTCCTCGACTAATGATGTCCAGTCTGTCTTTTTTTCGTTAGGAGATTGGTAACAGCGCTGAACCCCCTTTCCACTAGGTATGACGATGGAAAGGAAATTAAAAATTTCCTCGCTATATTCCATAATACGGGATAAGTAACGGGTATGTTGTTTTGCAGCCAGAATTGCTGATATCCGTTTTTAAACTGCACCTTAAGTTCTTCGTTTGTACTTAGTTCAGTCAGTTCCTCTTGGATTATGACATTCGTTTCTTCTATGTCACCATATGGATTAATTATCCACGGTGGTATTACCATAGTCAAAACATCCTCAAACCTAGATTCAAAAACTGAATAGAGGGCATTTAAATGTTGAACGTAAGTTGAAACGTCGTCTTCCTGGCAGCTTGTCTGTGACAAATTGGGGAACTGAGAAAATTCGCCCCGTCCAATATTGTGCTGCATTAGTTTAACTCTGGGAAGAAACGCTGATAAGATGGACTTTGTTTTAATCAAATTTAAACTGTCGCCTTGTAATTGCAAATTAACCATATTAAATTTTGTAAACAAATCTGTTAAATAGGCGATGTCTGTTTTCCTCTTCATTAAATTTTCTTTTAAAATTTTATCTTTAGTATCCAGAAATTCTAAAATAGTCTCAAAAAGTGCAAAAAATCTTGAAAAACATAAGCCTTTCGACAGCCATGAAAGTGTTCGTCATTTTCTTCACACAACTGCGCAAATAACCGCGTATTCAACGCGTTGCTTCGGATTCGGTTTACTGCATCAATGACTAAATGAAGTGATTCATGCACTCTAACACTCAAATTTTTAGCAACTAAATGTTGTCGATGGATGACGCAATGTATTGCTAACACCCCTGACACATTTTGTTTTAAATAGCTTATAAATCCACGTTAACGTCCAACCATGGCAGGTGCTCCATCTGTAGCTACTGATATTATATTTGATAAAGGAACTGCTTTTTCAATGAAGTAATCCTTCAAAACATGAAATATTGATTAACCTTTAGTGTCGGTTATCAAAGTTCTTGCAAAGAGCAGTTCTTCGTAGATTTCTTGATTCATAATAAAACGAACATATGCCAATAATAATGCTGCTTTATCAGGTAAAGTTGACTCGTCCAGTTGTATAGAGAAATGGGTCGTTTGCAAATAATTACATAAGAAGCCTTCAATATCAGAACTCATTTCATCAATACGTCTTTCAACAGTATTGTTGCTTAAGGGAATTCTTTTAATGATATCAAATGCAGGTTTGTGTAAAACAGTTTTTAAAACCTCTTCAACGGCTGGCAAAATTAACTTCTCTCCGATAGTATGCGGTTTTCCGGATTTTGCTATAAGTAACGAGATATTGTAAGACGCCCGCAAACTGTCCAGTGTAGGTCTCTTCTGAAATTTATCTTTGAGTGTTTGAAAGTATTTCAAATCTTTCTCTGTTTTATCAGGGTGGTATCTTCTCAGATGATCTTGCAGTTTAGATGGTTTCATAGCGTCATTGCCCAAAACTTTGTTGCATAAAAGGCACATAGGCGATTGTTTGTCCGGCAATGATGGAATGAAGCCAAATTTCAAATAATCAACACTGTACTGTCTACATTTCTTTTTAGATTCGGACATGGCATCAGTCATCTGTGGGCAAAAGTAAATTATTTAAATAAGACGGAAAATCCAGCAGATGTATATTAAAAATATTTTTTGATTTTTCCGAAAACATTCCATAATTCGAACATCTTCTTGCAACAATTAGCTCGAATTACGGAGATTGCACTGTAATTATATTACCGATTGCTAAAACTTTCAAAAAGAAACCATTGAGGAGTACTCGTGTAATTTTGCATGATTGAATATTTAACTACTAATAACTAAAGTCATGATTGGCGTAATTTATCTATCTTTGCTAACTACAAGTACAAAACTAAAATTTAATAAAAAATAATGTACTTACTTTTCTCCAGCACTCTCAAACAAAGTAACACTGATTCACTATAATTTGTGTGATATACTATCTGTTTATATTTTTTAAAATATTTTCTTAGCACTTTCCTTTTCAAGATTCAGGAAACGAATAAACGTATTTGTCCCACATTCATATTTATAGAGTGACGAATTGAACAAGTCAGTGCAAGGTAGGTAAGCTCTGAGACTGCGACTCTCAAGTTCAAAATGTATTGCGACCACAAAGCGAATACCAACATCCTACAACTTACACAATTTTATAAACATATATAATAAATTTTTTACTTCGTAGGTACTTTTATAAATAATGTATATGTTTTCATATTATAAGATAGTATGATGTAACTAAATAGGTACTATCAGTGTATGTGTTGAGATCCACTATCGTGGACCCCCATATTAATTTCATGGACCCCCAAATTTTTTTTCGCTGACGTAGACCCCTTGCAGGTTGTCATAGACCCCTAGGGGTCGATATAGACCACTTTGGGAATCAATGGTTTAGATATTGAAGAATGTGAATCTTAAGCTACGTAGTAGCCCCAGAGCTCACGGGAAGCTTGGGACCTGCGGCTAATGGGCCAGAGCAGAATACAGAGAGCGATTTTGTTGTTGGTGAGGTTAAAGAGTGGTAGGCCTTATAAAACATTTTTTATTCTCGTTTTATTTTTGAGCGTTTGGGTCCTCCCGTCAAGCCGGGGCCTTGGGTACGTTCCTCCTGTGCTCATAGATGGAAGAGAGAATAGAGCATAATATAAGATTTTGATTGGTGGTAATCAGATCTTATAAATGTTGGTTCTTCTTTAACTTCCAATCAGAAACCGTCCTTTTTCCTATTCAAAGGTAACCGCCTATTTTTCTCATCATCTTCAAAAGTTATAGTTAGGATTTGTCAAAAATTGTTGTATCTGACTAGCACCAACTCCTTCTCTGACGAGAGACCTGGATGTTATCGATACCTGGGGTCGCAACTATCTGGTACAGCTTAGTGACTCCAAAAGAGAATTAGGTTCTTCAAAATTAAAAAAAAAGACGAGGCCTGGACACCAGAGAATCTCTTCTACTAAGATTTTAAGGAGATCCTATCAATCCGCATGATAAGCCCAGTAGAACAGCGGAAAGCCTCTTCTAACAGTTTATTTCTACGTTCATGGGTCATTGGGTGCAAATATGTATGATGTATACGATTTGACCAAATTGGAGTAGAGAGCAGAACCCATCACGAATGCGTAGCACGTTGCCCTCTTAAGCAAACTTCCATCCTATGGCCTACCAGAGAAGCTTTCTAGATGGGTGGCTGACTCTCTCTCTCTGGCCGCAAAATATCTGTCGTAACTGACGGGTTCTCCTCTTCATCCCACAACGTCAACGCGGGTGTTCCCCAGGGATGGGTCTGGACTCCAACACTGTTCCTCTTACATATCACCGACCTTCTTTTCTGTACGATCAACCCAATCGACAGCTTTGCTGATGACAGCACTCTACATACAGGCATTCTGAGTGACAAGCCTATCTCTGCCGGTGGCATGGGGACCCAACAATCTTGTACAGTGATGAACAAAAGGCGTCCTAGCGCTCATCCGCTTTCGATGGATGACCGAGTTCTGCCAAAGAACTGTTCATTTCTGAGTCCAGATCACCGAGGATTTGATCTGGCACGACCACATCTCGTATAGCAGGAGCTGCTGGGAAAAAGCTAGGTTGTTTGTTCAGGGCTAAGAAGTACCTTTCCTCCGCATGACCTCCTCACTCTATACAAGGCCCTAGCCTCGCTTATTGCTCACACATTTGGGGTGCTACCGCCCGACTACATTATCCACGCTCGATGCTGTCCAGAGGAGGGCTGACCGACTGATCGATGACTCTTCTCTAACAGACAGTCTCGGGAACCGCTACACCAACACGCTTTGCTCCTCAGAGTCCCAAGTCTCCTCCACTAGTCGCCACCTCAGATAGCTGCCATATATTTCAATCGTTTATTTTGGCTACGGTTGCCGACGGCATGGCCATGGAGTTCCAGTGAGGGAGGATTCTGATTTGGGTCAGTGGGGCGAATAGTTCGATGACCACTTATTCTCATAAGGCATGGATTCAAATAGTTCTTTGGCTACTCTTGATCGATTTTCAATAATTGCAGCGCTTCAGTTTTCAGCATAGCGTAGGTCAAATATGACATTATAGTTTATAAGGAAACGCACATCGAGACAGAACATGATTCCTTGTGAACGTCACGAAACGTTATACATATCCAGAGAACATATCTATTCCGCACGAAAACCCAGTGTGAAAAATTGTCCTATGTTAGGTACGCCTTCTCTTGTGTACTGTATCAATATAGGGCAAAAACCTTGGATGTACGAGTTAGAATTATTTTCAAAGGAACTAAACAAGTAAATAACTTGTTTTAGTTGTATATGAAAACTGTATTTTGGGATTTGAAGACAACAGGTTATATATAAAATACAAAAAGGAGATTCAGTGGCAAGATGGAAGGATGCATGTCTTCGCCTTTCAGTAACTCTACCTGATCTGCAAAAAATTGTTCAGTTTATTATTGCTTGTCTCGCTTATACCTATTTGTTGAAGTATATAGAATGATTTGGTACTGTAAAATTGTGACCATTGCATTCTTTGACGAAGCAATATTTATTTGTGTGAACCATTCTGAAAATATTTTGTCCGCAATTGATGGATTGTATATGAGAGTAGATCAGCACCTTAACTAAGACTATCTACTTACTTAAGCGTCACATCTTCGGGCTTAAGTTTGAATTTTTTTAAATTCGAATGACTTTAGAACTGTCGATTTTTTAACCACATATAAGACCAAACAAGGGAACATGAAATAAGCATCATCTGGAATACTATGATGCTCGCCAAAAGGCGAGGATAGTAAATGTGACAACAATTTTTCCTTCCTCATTCTAAAAGACAATTGATCATTGCAGGTATACGAACCTCTTCGAACCACCGAAATGGGATGTGATCATCCGAATCCTCACTCCTGTCGACAAGACGCCGAAGAACAAGAAAAAGCGTGGCGACTGGGATAACAGGAGCCGACGCAGCAGCTTGCCAACCTTGTACGAGTACGATTCGGATGGAGGCAGTTCTGTGAGGACCCTCACCAGAGAGCCTGTCATGGTGATGCCGCAGAGATCCAGGAAGTCCAGTTACAGGTAAGTCTATCGGTTCTTATAGACAGTGTCTCGTTTTAACCTCCACACCTAAATATTTAGGAAACTGCTCGTTCTGGAAAACAATTTGAAGCAAAAGCAGTAGGGTTTCGAGAGGAAAAATGATCACAATAACTAATACCTCCAAGGTCATTTCAGAGACCTATTTTAGTCATACCCCTAATTGCTAAGATAATTGAGATTCTTTTGCAGAATCAGGTAATTGGCTATTTCTTAAGCAACAACCTATTTACTGACTGCCAATTCGGTTTCAGATCAGGTAAGTTTACTTCTGTAGCTACACACATCTTCATTGAGAAAATAAATGCAGCTCATTGCTTAGCTAATCTTTTTGATCTTACTAAGGCCTTTGATTGTTTACATATTCTTCTACAAAAATTGTCACATTACAAATTCAATAGTACTATCATAAGGCTCTTGTCATCTTATTTGAGCAGCACACAGCAGCTTGAAACCTTCAACAACACTGCCTCCGTTCTGTGCTGGGGCCACTCTTATTCTTAATGTACATAAATGATCTTCCATATTGTAATAAAAACGCTCTTTAGTAGCAAATCGATTGATCTAATTTTCTCTGCGAGTAATAAATTTCAAAATTTTGTTCTTAACAAATAAACTGACGCTTACTGCTTCAAAGACTCAGTTCATAGTAATAAGTTTGTGTCACCATAAAGTCAATACCACAGACACAGTAAAATTTTTGTGTGTCGGTATTGATACACACATGACTTGGCAGGAACTTGTTAAGTCAAAATTTGCAAAGTAACCCTGTCATGTTGATCCTGGAAATGGAACAAGCAAGAAGTTTTACGTCCAAATGTAACCTTGACCTCAAAGTCAAGGTCGTGCCAACCTTAAATGCTATTTGAGGTCGAGGTCACACTTGGACGTAAAAATTCCTGCTTTTACCATATTTCATAGAAAAATGTTCCTTTGTAAATGTTGACTGTACCATGAAGGTCATTTTCAAGGTCAACAAGTTTAATAGTATATGTGGTTTATAACTTCTTTGTTAACATCGTTTTTTCTCGCCAGTTTAGTTCTTTCTTCCGCCGCTATTTGGCGCCGAGTGACAATTTTCTGGATTCTGTCGAAGATTTCAGTTGAATTTTATTTAAAACTATTCTGCAGGAGCGAAATGGACTTGAGATCGATGTCTGAAGTAACCGTGGACTTCGGCAGGCCAGACCCTGACAGATACTCCGAAGCTTCCAGCTACGATCCTGGACATCCGTCGCTAGCTAGATCGCTCAGTCAACCCAGCCTTGCCAGATCAGCGAGTGAGTTCACAGAACGGTGGATAGCACCATCAAGCCGGTAAGTATATGACTAGGTAGCACAGGCTCTAGCACAGAGAGCACCTATACTACTCGAGCTGTCGACCCGCTCGTTTCAGCCAGAAGCAGCGACAGACATAGCAGTACAAGGTAGGAGTGTCTTTTCAGCGCTGTTAGTTGCGTTGACCAGTGCATTGTTTGTCGTTCAAGTCCTTGTTTGTAAATGGAACATGTTCTGTATGTGAATGACTGTTTTGAGTACGAACAAGAGCCTCACCCGAATAGCACAACTGTATCTTAAAGACGTCTTAAAAACGTTATTTTGAGATATTAGAGACGTCTTGTGAGCCCTGTACGACGTCTTCAAGACGACGTTTATTACAAAAGCTGTGCGTCTTAAGGACGTCTTTAAGTAGTAGTATGTGCGTAATTTGTTTAAAAAACACAGGATGTCAACCCTAACACACAACTAGATTTGTATGCAAGCCTTACCTAGTTTGCTGCGCAGATATCCTGTGTCCCTCAGAAGTGCTGGAGGTAGACCTAATTTAAATTTTGGAGATAATTGACACCCACGTCACAACACTAAAGCACCAAAGCAATACTGAGAGAGAATCGAGAACTCGATAGTGAACACCATGACTGAAGAAAAGTACCTAAGCCGAATAGAGCTCTGCACGGAGCAGTGAACGCCTAGACATTCCGCTGCGCCGACGGTTGCCGAGAGACTGAAGTGTGTGAGTGCGTAAACATCGAGTCGCTTCAGGAGCAGACGCGCAGAGTGGGAGCTGGAAAGGGGCGTGGCTGCACTACCCGGCCGTACCGTATCGCCGCAGGTACAGTACTCGCACGCTTCAGTCTCTCGGCAACCGTCGGAATATTTACGGGTTCACAGCTCGGTACAGAGCTCTATTCGGTTAAGCTACTTTTTTTCAGTAGGGGTTTACACTATAGGGTTCTCGATTGTCTCTCAGTGGTGCCTTTGTTTTGTTACGTGGGTGTTAAGTGTCTCCAAAGTGGAACTTAGGTCCGCTTCCAAGTCTTTTGAGGGAACAGGATATCTGTGCAGGAAACTAGGTGAGCCTTGCATACACATCTACTTGTGTGCAAGGGTTGACATCATATGTTTTTTTAAATAAATTGCCCACATTGCATGCACTGAGAAATTAGTCATATACTGAGGTATTTGGGAGAAACTAAAATTTGGCCAAATCGCTTTTATTTTGTCTGGCTTTATTTTAAGAAATGTCAAAAAAACTAACGGCACTACATGATGGTGCTTTTAAAAAAGTGCTGCACTGTATCTAATAGCAGCTTTTTCTACGACTTCAATGATGTGTCACGTTACATTTGTTTTTTAGATGTAAACAAACGTGTTTTTTTTTTCTTTTTTCATTATATCCAAGTAGGCGTTGCAAACAAATGCTTGATGTAAGATTGTGTGATTACTGAGTTTAACCTAGTCTGATCCTTATCTTGGCCACCCTGTAATACATTATTATAAAAAGAAATTTACAGAGACGTTCACTAATCTAACGTTCTTGTAAGTATTCTTATGTACTTACATTCATTTCTGAAAAATCTCAAAACTATTAGCAAGGCCCCCGACAAGGGGTCCAAGGAATTTTTGATAACAGAGGTAGCAAAATTGTCCGATGAGCTGGCAACGCCGCAATCTAGGTGACAAGAATGACAAGATCAAGTGACGGAGTCATTTAGAACGTCATTGTGGCAGTTTTCTAATCTTCATTTGCATATTTTCAAATATTGTGCAACGATTTCGAGAAAAATTTAGCTACGGATAGTCTACTAGAGTATATTTCAATAATCGTCTTGCGTGGCCATGTTATCCTTATTCGGGCCTCTGAATTAAAAATATCGATCGTTTTTTGTGCAGCGTACTTATATATCAATAAAAATCAAGCATGTGATATGACAAATACGGATCCTATATCTTCGATAACCTTCTCCCTCGTCATCTAAAATCAGGTGGACGTGTTTCTCCATTTATGATTTAATAATTTAACTCATTTTTCGGCACTGCGAAGACAAATTGACATGCCCGTTTTTCAAATGACATTGACATAAGACCTGTCATCCCTCTAGTACCTCACAGACGTTAGGCGGTTACCCGTACCACGTGATTTTTTGACATTTGGATGACGTCACATCCGGGTTCCCGTATTCCCGGTGAAGTATAAAGGATTCCAGAAAAATAATCTGTGTTTATATTATATTTATTATTATACTAAGTGACATATAAATCCGAACACCCAGTTTAAAAGGTTTTATTTTAATAAAACTTTGTATAAGTACTTACTGAAGTATAATAAGTAAATGATAAAAATTTCAAAATGATTGCACTGCTTTAAAGCCCTTTGACCTTTAATAATGTGTGGATGCACCCTGATGTGCTACGCATTCTCCAACGCGCCTAGGCATGCTTCTGATCAGGTGGTCAATGTCCTCCTGTGGTATCTCATTCCAGGCAACCACCAACTCCTCTCGAAGTGCTTCTAGAGTCTGAGGAGGACGTTGCAAATTGAGCAATCTCCTACCCATCATATCCCACACGTGCGCAATTGGGGATAAGTTGGGAGATCTTGGTGGCCATGGTAACAATGTGACATCATTATGTTGAAAGAAGTCTATTGTGACTCTTGCAACATGTGGTCGGGCATTATCTTGTTGGAAAGTTGGATCTGCCAGGGTGTCAAGATAGGGTAAAAGATGGGGTTCTAGAACTTCGTGGATATAACGCTGCGCGTTCATGTTACCTCTGATGAAGATTAAAGGTGACCTGGAACCATAAGCTACGTATATAGCACCCCAAACCATAACTCCAACAGTGTGATGAACATGTCTTTCAACAAAAAACTGTGGATTCCTTCTTTCACTACGTCGCCTTCTAACCCTGGCACGACCATCGTGCATGCCTAAACAAAATCGAGATTCGTCACTAAAGACAATACTGTTCCATTCCTGATCCCAGAGTGACCGTTGTCTGCACCACTCAAGGCGATTACGTCGGTGTTCTCGAGTTAAAGGGAGGGCCCAGTGAGGCCGGTATGAAAACAAGCCAAAACTTCTAATTCGTCGGTAAACACTTCGCATGCCAATAGGTCTTCCGTGTTCTGCAAACCATTCATTTGCAATGGTCCTGGTAGTGGAGAAACGGTCCCTTAAGGCCAATAATCTTAGGCGGCGATCTTCACGGTCTGTTGTTCTACGGCGGCGTCCAGTGCCCCTTGCTCTTTGCGTACGGCCTTCTCGAAGCCATGCCTGACAACACCTAACCACAGTGTCTACACTTCTTTGCACTCTAACTGCAATTGCCCGAAAAGAAAGTCCAGGTTCCCGAAGTCCCACTATACGGCCCCTATCAAACTCACTAAGTTGACGAAATCGTACAGGTCTCCGTACTCTAGGCATCGTAACCGATCGTAAAGGATGTCAAGAACCAAAATCCGCCAACGTTGATTCTTTACTGCGGCTGAAATATTCATTTTTGGAGCGTTAGTAAATTAAAAAAAAGCAGTATAAAAACCGGAATGTCCAACTGATAAGGCTGAAAATTTTTTCACTTGTTATTTACAGTAAGATAAATACATTCACCAACTTTTATTAAAATAAAACCATTTAAACTGGGTGTTCGGATTTATATTTATTAATTTATTAATTTAAAATAATGAATTGGTTGAAAAATATATGAAACTTAAAAAAGTAATATATATTTTCAATCGTGGTAAACGAAAAAGTATATGTTACTTTAAAGTTTAGTTAGATGTTCAGGATTGAGGTTTCTTAAATGTCCTCGAATATTTCTAACTTTTTAAGAAGCTAGATTTAAAAAAAATTAACGACGTCTTCAACAAGGCATAAATAAATGTCTTAAAAATGATTGTTTAATGTCGTTGATGCTCTTAAATACGTCTCAATAAGGATCTCTTAAAAACGTATATTCAATGCCTCATGCATTTAGACATTATTAGTGCATAAAATGTACGTCTTTAAGACGGCCTGTACTATAGGGAAAAGAATAACTTCACCGAAGAACCTGCGATATTCCTTTAGTCCAAAAATTACTGCTCGGATACAAATACAATTTTGACACAAAGGTACTGCTATGTCAATGATAGAACATCTTCACCACTGATGACTAAGTCAACAAACTTATATTTTGAATGTTTCGGTTAGCCTACACTTGATAGTGTTATGTAATTTGTCTTTACAGGTATGATACTGCTAGTGAAATAACAACTCCAGAAGGCAGTCCCAAGTCACAACGCAGTTCCCGATTCTTACCACCTGGTGCTCAAAGATCATCGGCCACTGCCTGGCAAGTGAGCAGACAAACAACAGGAAGACCTGTACCAGGTAATATTTGCTTCATTTCTATTTTTATCTCAATTGAAAAAGAAATTTTGCTTCCTTCTTTTTAATACTGTTATTGAGATCATCAGTATGTAGCATCATTTTATAATGATAAAGTAGATTTACTGTTTGATAATTCACTAAGAGCAAGATTTTGACGCAATAACGACTATGAACAAAGTAATACAATAGAGTCATATCGATCGACTAATCTTCAAACCATCTTTCTGCCTGTAGGTTCGACTGCTCAGATGGTAACCAGAGAATATAGAAGTGAAGCTACATCAAGTTACGTCGGAACCAGGAACGTTCCACCTTCAGGCGATTGGTTTATAGATAACGACAGTGAAGCTAGCTACAAATAAAATATTTCACTAGAAAGGAAATTCTTGCTTTGAAGTTGCTCAAATATTCTAAACGACACGCTCTTAATGTCTAAATATTTTACTTAACCGTTAAGATGAAGAGCGTAATTCAGACCTCAAAATTTCCTTTCTATTCATAGTAACAACTTATAGGCAATTTGTACACAAAATGTCTAGCTGTACGATTTCTCATTTTCTGTAAAACAGAAACAAAGCTATCCTTTTAGATGTATGGAGAGTAACACAAGACGGGTAGGTACCTTCAAAGCCCTTCGTATGTTTCCTTTTAAAAATACCGCTTTTACAATACTTATGATTTATATTCTTCAGAATACTAGAATTTGTTTCCATCTGCATGCTTTAGTTTTCTCGAAGAGAGTGGTATAACTTAATGTACGCCACTGCTAAGGAGGAATGTCATTGTGTAACGTATGGACGGCTCCATACACAGCAGCAGCATCTAGGTCAGTGATGCTCTTGTACAATTTGACACTTGATTATGAGTCTGCATGTTTTGCTGACCACATGAAACCATTGGTGTTCGATCCACTGTTCACTAACGTTAATAGCTGTTTGGGTACTGTCGCGTTTTGTAACACTTCGGATTTCACTGTTTTTTCACTTGAAACATATAGAGGGTAGTTTGATAGATTATTTTAAATCATAAAAGGTGTGAATGAAGCACGCTTTTCATGAATTGTTTTCCCAAAACATTGTATTTTTTAGCAGTTATTTCCCCCAATTATTTCCACCGCCATCTACCATATGACGTTGACGTCATTTGTCATATATGAGAGGCGCTTGTCTGCGGTGTTGCCGGATTGGGCTACATATTTGGGGAAAAATACGAAAAGTAATAAATTCATATACATTTATATTAATTAATGAAACCCAAAAACAAAAACGGTAGTAAAATTAAAAGTTATTCTTATTAAGTTTAAAACAAAAAATAACAAACAGCAGTAAAATAAAAAGCAATTCTAAGTGTTTATAAAAAAATTAAAACAGTATTAAAACAAAAAACAATTCCATGTAATTATAAAAAACTAAAAAATAACAAACAGTAAAATAAAAAGCAATTTGGATGCAATGAAATTATTTTGTTGTTTTACTATTGTTTTTACTTTTTGTTTTGTATTGTCACTTAGAATTGCTTTTTATTCAACTCTTTGTTATTTTTTGTTTTTTATAATTACATGGGATTTTTTTTCTACCGATATTATTTTTAGTTATCACTTATAATTGCTTTTGATTTTACCGTTTGTTATTTTCTGTTTCTCATTACATGGAATTGTTTTTTTTTAAGTTTTCTTACTGTTTTTATTTTTTGTTTTTTATAATTATTTATAATTTATAATTTTTTAGCTTACTAGTGTTATTTTTTGATTTATACTTATTAGGAATCGCCTTTTATTTTGCTACTGTTGTTTGTTTTAGTTCTTCATTTTTGTGATTCATTCATATGTATATGTATATAAATTTTACACTTTTTCCTTAAATGCGGAGCCCAATCCGGCAACACCGCAGACAAGCGCCTCTCAGATATGACATATGCACAGACGCCTACGTCATATGGCAGATAGATGGCGGTGGAAATAATGGTGGAAAGAACAGCTAAAAATATAGTGTTTTGGAAAAAAAATTTCACGAAAAGCGTGCTTCATCCGCACTTTTTTTGTTTCTAAATAATCTATCAGACTACCCGCTAAAAGTTTTAAGAGAAAAAACAGTCAAATCGGAAGTTCTACATGGCGCAACAGCACCGTTATTTGTCTTTGACGCTACTATCAAGTGTGTTCCAATAAAAGCTCAAACACTTAAGTTTATCCACTGAATCAAAGCAGTTATGTCGCAACGTCAAATAATGACAGTGACGCACATGGTTGCCACACTAATTAAAACTACTAGATCCTACGACCTTTTACAAAATCTACTTTATATCTTCGATGCCTTGCCGCAACCAACATTACGAAGAGTATGTTTTGTGAACGCTAGAGCTGGTATAAATTCTAATGGACATCATGATTTCGTTCGGTCTCAAAATAGTTCGTCAAAGAAATGACGAATTATTTTGCTTGTCGACCCAGAGGTTTCGGCATTTTAGCAAAATGTTTAAAAGGACACCTCAAAGTTTTGACAAAAACCTTTTTTATAAAATAACAATGTAAATATTGAGGCAAAAAGAACAAAAATAAGTCACAAATAAACAACAGCCGTTGGCCTGTTTATCTGACAAGCTTTGCGACAATGTCACAACACCGAAAACTGTTACCAACACAAATGTACCCGGGAAATTCAAACTATACGTACAAATTTACGATCTATTTTGCATTCAAATTTACTAAATATCACGTAACTGTTTTGTTTCAGTGAATAAACTATATGTGGTTTTATTTGGCAAGGCAAATGTGGAAACCACAGGACAAGTTTCAAATGTTACATTGACTTTAAGTTCAACATCGCATGAAACCGTTTATGCATTATATTTTAGACAATTGTACCTACCCTCGATAACTAGTATAAATACCGTCCATTAGTTATATTTTAAAAATTAGGCGACATTACGTCTACTGCCCTTTACGAATGATTTTTTTTTGTCAAACGTGTGAGTGGAAGTGAAAACTAATTTACTTTTAGTAATTAGAATACTGTGATAACAAAATGTGAGTTGTGCGGACTTAATGGTTTTTTAACTTAATTTTTAGTTAAGAAGAGGGTCTCATACCCGATTTTCCACTTTGCCACGTTATTTGTGGAAAACTGTAGAATTGGGTATAATTTATGAATTTTCTTCTTTCGCCTACTATAAAGTTACAGTCGATAGGTAATCTAATCTTTTTCACAGTTTATAGCAATCGATCCTCTGAGAGTTACTAGGATTCTTCAAATAGTGATAAGTACTTCTTGTCATTGAGCTAAGAAAGAGTTTCCTCTTCAACTTTTCATTATCTGCTATTACTAGGCTCAATAACCACTGAAATGATTTAAATCTTCCTAGATCTCGGTGGATAGATGTTATTCTTTACAATCCTTACAGGAATTTTTTTCATACGTTGCCTCAATATTTTTTTTAATTTTGCTCAAACTGCTGCTCTTTGGTGTTGGATCGGGGACTTTTAGAACTTAATCTTCTCATGTATTTATATACTTTTTGTATAAATATGTGTTTTACATGATGTAAGGTGCTATGATTATAATTTTTATACCAATTTATACCATGTAGTTTTTCATGAAATGAAAATAAAACCTAATACATTTCTGAACGAAACTACGTTTTGATTTTATTCACACCATATATTCCTTTCTTCGGCAGATTACTCACCAGGATCATTTACTTTTGAAAAACACAAGTACGCATAGCAAACTGTGCTTCGAGATAAGTGATTTAAAAAAAACTAAAAAAAATAGTGAATGGTATTCAAATCAGTGGATGATCCTTAAAAAGGTATTACCGATAAGTAATATATTTTTAAAATAAAGCCGCTAGAGGGCGCTCTCTACTGTACCTGTAGTGTATTAACATGACCGAAAAATTTTTCTTAGTGCAATTTTTTGCTTTTTGAATGAAAAAACTGATTCTTCGCACTTTTCAACATAAAAAAGCTCTCAAGTGAATGTTCGTTATAGTTAGCCGTTTTTGAGATATTTCGATTTTTAAGGTTCGATGCATATTTAATTATTTATGATAAAATAACGTTAAAAAGTCAGTATCTCGATAATTTTTAGAAGTAGGCTGTGCCTGCAAATATTTTTGAAATTGAAAGCAGAATAAGGTTAAACGTCAATTAGTTGACAGTTAGTTTTGTTGTCTGTTGAAACCTGAAACGTTTTTTTGCAATTGTGAATGCACGAAATTTAGTTTCTTTTACCTGTTTTTTTTTTTGTAAGTTTTATCAAAATGCCATTTTTATTCTCCAATCAAGAGTTAGCGGATATTCATTTTGTGTATGACTTTGTAAATGGAAACGCAGCAGAAGCAGCCATAGAATACGCACGAAGATTTCCAAACAGACGACATCCAACTCGCTCAGTATTTGTAAGAGTGCATCGCCAAATAATTGAAAATTGGAAATCTCCAAAGGGATCAAAACATAAATGTTCGTCAGCGCAGATTTACCCGTATGATTATGCGTGAGTTTGATAGAGATCCGACCACAAGTGTTAGGAGAGTTTCTGGTGCCTTGGGAATTTCAGCAAGCCATGTTCACCGTGTTCTTAGAAATGACCATAGACGTCCTTACCATTTGCAACCTGTGCAAGGACTACAGCCAGGGGACGGAGAACGAAGAATCACATTTTGTCAGTGGATTCTTGATAGAACTGATAATAATAGGGAGTTGTTAAGTAACGTTTTATGGACCGATGGGTCATGCTTCACTAGACGTGGAGTGGTAAATTTTCATAATCAACATATTTGGTCGCATGAAAATCCGCATGCAGTTCGGGAAAGAAATTTTCAGCATGAATTTAGTGTGAACGTGTGGATTGGTATCTAGTTAGAAACTGGCTGGACGAAAATTATCCAGAAAGATGGATTGGCCGTGGAGGACCAGTCGCCTGGCCTCCACGATCCCCTGACCTAAATCCATTAGATTTTTTTGTGTGGGGATTTCTAAAACAAAAAGTGTACCAGACTCCCGTAACCACAAGAGATATGCTAATGGACAGAATCAGGAATGCATGTGATGAAATAAGGCCTTATTTGAATAATGCTATACCACGTTCGATCATGCGTAGATGTGAATTGTGTATTGAACAATTGGGTTTACATTTCGAGCAACTACTTTAGATTTTGTATGTTTGTCCTAACTATCCAATAGCATTTTAGTTGTAAATAATTAATTTAATTTGTTAAAAATAATATTGGAAAAATAAACAAATTAATATTCTGTTTTTTTGTGTCTATTTGGAGTTAGGAATTATTGCTGTGTTTAAAAACACAATCTAAACGATCATCTTAATTACTTGTAATGCCCAAATCGAAAATGTAAAAAATAATATTATTTTCCCATAAATAATTAAAAATGCATCGAACCTTAAAAATCGAAATATCTCAAAAACGGCTAACTATAACGAAAACTCACAGGAGAGCTTTTTTATGCAGAAAAGTGCAAAGAATCAGTTTTTTGTTCAAAAAGCAAAAAATTGCACTAAGAAAATTTTTTCGGTCATTTTAATACACTACAGGTACAATAGAGAGCGCCCTCTAGCGGATACAGTAAAACTAAGCCCATGGTTCATTTTGTCGTACCAAAAAATCCTTGTATACCAATTTTCACTCTTATAAATAAAATATTGTTCGAAATATTTTAAAAAAAAACGATTTTAGAAAGTAAATTTAAACACCCTGTATTTCGGAAGCCACGCATTTTCGACCCATGTTTATATAGACTTTATGCATTAATTTTAAAATTTCTATCGAATCTTAAAGTTATGCAACAATAAACTGAAACACCCTATATACAGGGTGTCCCGAAAAAAGTGTGCAATATTCTACCAGCGGTTTCTAAAATAGGAAATAGACTAGAAACCGCTGGTAGAATATTGCATTCTTCTTTCGGGACACCCTGTATAAGATATATTTGTATTTGAAATGTGTATAATTTGACATTTCATTTCAACTAATGTTTAACTCAAAATTCGACCCGTGAATGCAAGAGTGAATTCGATAAATCCAGTGTTCCATTACTTGATACGGATTTTTGTTATGATGAATTGTCAGAATGGACAGTAGTAGTACTGGTAGTGGCTAAGCGAAGCCTGGCTAGCAGGCTACCTTTGACCCCGAGTGTACCAACACTAGGGCGTCCCAAAAGAATGAAATAGATGACAGTTTTCTCGACGAGTGTCCATCTTCATGGCCACATAATAAGTCTTGTCAGTAGGCAAGAATGAGCAGCAAACACTGAGAGCAGTTCAGGATACGGCAGAAAGACCAGTCAAGTTAATGCCAGACTTTCCTGGCTTAATCACTGCTGATGAGGAACATATACAATTTTCATTAGTGTACAAGAACACAGGCAGGTATATCCTAACTGTGAAAAGAAGACTCAGTGAATAATGTTCCTTTAATGATAAATAACTAAGAAATATAAGATACAAATAAAGCAGTGTTGTATTTGTCGAATAAGAATTAGGTTTGAAAATCCATACATGATTTCCCTATAAACTTTCAAATTCAAAGTTTGACCGGTAGTCGATAAGGGCTATCGTTCCCGTTCGCTAGAATGTTTATTTTTTGAGCTGTTAAAGTCAAATGGAAAAAATAAGAGCGTAATTCGAACGAAAGTTTATTTGCCCTCGTAGGCTGGGACAACTGAATGTAGTCGATTCGCTATTTCCATGAAAACTTACTATCCAGTACCACACCTCTTGAGAGAGAGTCAATGGTAGGCCGTGGAGGGTTGAAATCTATCGCCTTTCGGTGCGGAAGACTAGCTCAGTTTTGAATGAATTAACTAAAAGCCCTGTTTTCTCACACCACTCAAACGAATTTCTCCTAGAAATAATAAAATAATCTATATAATCTCAAATCTTCACAAATGACAACAGTTTTGGCTGTTCTGCTATGGTTTGCACTTTTTTATAAATTTGCCCCTTTTGCGTGTTTTATAAGTGCATCTCTTCCACTTTTGGTATTAATATCTTTATCACACACCATACATTTCGCATAATCGCGCCCTTTATTTCTTTTTTAAGCCAGCCTTGGAAATCTGGCAATCCTTCCCAGTCTTCCTTACAATGTTGGGCACACGCACGCGAAAAAAAAAATGACTGCAAGCCAGGCAATACTAATACTGGCCGAATTTGGAATTAGTAAGTACACGAAACCATACAAATCGTACAATACAGACATGGACTCGTCACGAGCCGCTAGGCCCAGGCGATGTAGCCAAATCATCGAGTATCTTCGGTGATTCCCCAGATACGAAGAAGCAGCGTGTGTGGCTCACCAATGTCAGGCAAAGAGAATAAAAATATATCTGGTCTAGTACGAATAATAACACCGATCAACAGCCAAAAAATATAATATAAATAAAATCAACAAAATATTACTATTTTCAATGTGCTAAAACCGGAATGAAACTTATTTTTTCAATATTAGTTCAAGTTTTAGAGATACGGTAATTATCTGTGTTCCTGCTGTGACAGTGTTAATATACTGTAATTCACAAGAATGCACGTGCTACATTTTTATATTCGGCAAGGAAAGATGATGTAATCGGCATGATTGTGTTACGATATACATACGTGTACATTATATTGTTTTATATTAGCCATTTTTTCCTCAGTTGGCTGACAGCGTTCATGCAAGAGGTCTTGAAAGTGTGTAAACAATCCAGATCAGTTTTGTTACGTGTGTGGTGATGTGACTTTTGCGTCTCAGAGACGGTCTATTACTCCACTAATAACAAAGGCATATCAGCTTTATTTCGGCTGTAAACTAGGTGATCAAGACAAACAGTGGGCACCCCACATCTGCTGTAATACATGTGCTTCAAGTCTGAGGAGCTGGTTAAATGGCAAAAAACGGTCTATGCGCTTTGCTGTCCCAATGGTTTGGAGAGAGCCTACAAATCATATTAATGATTGTTACTTTTGCTTGGTACCTTGTGTTGGACACGGCCACAGGTATGTCCAAGAAAAAAAAATCGGTTATTAACTACCCAAGCATACCATCTGCGATGAGACCTGTGCCTCACAGTGACGAAAATCCTATTCCAAAACCCCCAGAATCCTACACTTGCGAATCAGAAAACGAATCAGATCATGGCGATCGAGTGATTCGTCAGGAAGAAGATATGCCATCAACGTCAAGAGATCCTGATTTTATACCGAGCACGTCATGCCACCAACCGCACAAAATAACACAGTCAGAATTAAATGATCTTGTAAGAGATTAAGAACTTCCAAAATGTAAGGCAGAGTTACTTGGATCAAGACTGCAGCAGTGGAACTTGTTAGAAGACGATGTTTCGGTATGTGTTTTTTGTAAACGCCACAAAGACTTAGAACCATTTTTCAATATGGAGAATAACTTGGTTTTCTGCAGTAACATTAAGGGCTTACTGGCGGCTTTAAATATAAACTATAACCCAGAAGAATGGTGATTGTTTATACATAGTTCAACATTGAGTTTAAAGGCAGTGTTGTTGCATATTGGAAATATTTTACCATCTCTTCCTGTAGGGTATGCAGTTCACATGAAAGAATCATATGACAATATGAAGTACCTATTGACATGCATAAAATACGATGAGCACCAATGGCATATTTGTGGCGATTTGAAAGTTGTTGCACTTTTACTTGGGCTGCAGCTAGGCTACACAAAGTTTTGCTGTTTTTTGTGTAAATGGGACAGTCGGGCAAAGGCACTTCATTACACCAGACAAAACTGGCCTGTTCGTCAATTCCTAGAGCCAGGTCAAAAAAATTTACAGCATATGCCATTAGTAGATTCGAAAAAAATTTTATTACCACCACTGCATATCAAGTTGGGCCTAATGAAAAACTTTGTCAAGGCATTAGGTAGAGATGGGTCAGCTTTTCAATACCTGCGTCAGAAATTTCCAAGACTAAGTGAGGCAAAGGTTAAAAAAGGTATTTTTGTTGGGCCACAGATTCGAAATATTTTGAAAGATACACAGTTTGAAAACACTTTAACAGGTATTGAAAAAACTGCTTGGAATGATTTCCGTCTGGTGGTCACTAATTTCTTGGGAAATAGAAAAGCTGACAACTATAAAACCCTTGTCAAAAATATGCTGTCATCGTATCAAAAGTTGGGCTGTAATATGTCTGTTGTTAAGATACATTTCCTACACTCGCACCTGGACTTTTTTCCTAACAATTGCGGAGCCGTAAGTGATGAGCACAGCGAACGTTTCCATCAGAATATTTCAACAATGGAAAAAAGGTACCAGGGAAAGTGGAATCCTTCCATGCTTGCAGACTACTGTTGGACTCTTGGTAGAGATGCTCCAGAAACGATCCATAAAAGAACAGCAAAAAGACAGCGCATATAGTGATTCTTATAAGTATATGAATCTTGTTACTTTTTTTAATATATCCTTAAAAATAAAAAGTTTTTTCTAAACCGCAACTAATTTTTTTATTTCATTGTCATTTTTGAATTCAGCGCCCTAAAATTAACAAAGAAGTGCACTTTTCCCACAAGATACAATTAAAAAACTAAAATTTGTTGTCCAGTGTAATAGTACCTTTGTCATTCTTTTTATCGCTATGCATTAGAAATATTTCTCTTATATAGGGAACAAAAATTATTCGATTGAAGGGAAAATCCACTTTTCGGTAAATTTTGCTTTAAAATCGGTAGTTCGGTAGACCAGGGCCAAAATCGGTAGATCTACCGAAGAATCGGTAGACCTGGTAACACTGCGTCGATACCCCGAGAATAAGTTCTATCCTGTCGAATCCTTCACTTGTTGTAGTTTTATGACCAATAGCTATTACAAAGCTTAGGCGGCTGCCGTTTTGCCACGTTGCATCTTTGTTGTGCCGGGGGGTAAACGGACTACGAATACGGTATAGGATGTATCTTGAAAGGAACTCCTCACATTCCATGGTAATAGTAAAAAAGAATCGAGCACTGTATAAAAAATTTATTACATAATATACAATATACGTAATAATAGATTCTGACAAATCGTTCTTAAAACCAACTTATATCTAAAAATAGGTACTATCAAATAATGTAAAAACATCTACAAAACACTTTACACCAAAAATGCTTATAAAAAGATCTTAAGGCAGTCGTCAGTATAAAGGCATTGTATTTTGTATTTGGGCAGGAAGAACTGCCTTCAGTTTATATATCACAAACATTTGTCAATAAACATTATAAAGAGTTTATAAAACATTCGAAAATACTTTTGATATTACATTGTCCACATCCAAATTTATTGTTAACATAGGTTGTATCAAAAATCGACAAAATATTTCCTGAGAAACACTCCGGCCATATTGTCTTTAACTTTATCGATACGATCATTACAACGTAAAATGTGTACTTTAATAATGTCAACAATTTTAAATACTGAGTTGCAAAAGAAAATGATCAGACGTGAGTTCTACAGAACCGCTAAAATCAAAACTGTAGTTATTCAATATACTTTGCGAGGTTGGTTTAATAATGTCATCCCTGAAATCGAAAATCACGAAGAAATAAAAAGAAACAATTTTTCGAGAATATTATTTGAGTATCTCTGGTAGCAAATATCTCATAATACCCATAAAAATCATGCACAATCGCGATGAATAGTGATTAAAAGAATTTGGATATTTTTAGAACAATACAACAATGTTAAAAACTCATAGCGTATTAAAAACTAAGATGTAGACTTTTGTACTTATACTTTCCAGTTCGATATCCACTATAGTTTTTTTATGAAGAATGAAATTTACCCTTTAATGCCGCACGTCTCTTTTTTCGCTTTTTGTATAGAGATGACTAAAAAACATCGTTTTCATTTTTTTTTTGTCATAAAATGTATTTTTTGCGCATTTTATTGTGGATTTTTCTTCGATCGTAACTTGTTAACAAACATTAGTACAGCTCTGAAATTGTATGTGAACATTCCACTTTTATGGATGGATGACACAAGTGGTTACTTTCATTCTTATCACTTTCTCTTTCCGAAAAACCTTTGCTTCTCTTGAAAACCCAACTTGCTGCGAGAAAATCAAAGCTTTTTCTAAAAGGAAAAGTGCTAAAAACAAAAGTAATCACTTGTTTCATTCTTCCATAAAATAGGAATATTCACACACAATTTCAGATCTGTACTTATATTTGTAAACAAGTTCAGATTGAAGGAAAAATGCACAATAAGATGCACGAAAAATGTATTTTTTGACAAAAAACATGAATACATTGCTTTTTAGTCATCTCTATACTCACCATGAAATTATCAGATGAAAAGGATTTAGAATACTGCTGCAAATAGGTAGTTGAAAATAAAATCTAAAAAAAATATTTTTCACGTCAGAAAATTTTGGATATGTATTCTATTGCTTGAAGTCATAGCTCTTTGTGGATTTTTTCTTCGATCGTAACTTGTTAACAAACATTAGTACAGCTCTGAAATTGTATGTGAACATTCCACTTTTATGGATGGATGACACAAGTGGTTACTTTCATTCTTACCACTTTCTCTTTTCGAAAAACCTTTGCTTCTCTTGAAAACCCAACTTGCTGCGAGAAAATCAAAGTTTCTTCGAAAAGGAAAAGGGCTAAGAACAAAAGTAATCACTTGTTTCATTCTTCCATAAAAGAGGAATATTCACACACAATTTCAGAGCTGTACTTATATTTGTTAACAAGTTCCGATTGAAGAAAAATGCACAATAAGATGCACAAAAAATGAAAACATTGTTTTTTAGTCATCTCCATACTCACCATGACATTATCAGATGAAAAGGATTTAGAACAAAGATCTAAAAAAGGGACGTGCCACCTAGATGCCACAACTCTTAATGGTTTCACTTTTATTTATGAAACTTGAGTACTGTAAGGAATGCCATGGAGACAGACGTCTAACCATCGATTAGAGTTTGTTTTCCCAAAATTCAAAATCCTCTTTTTGTAACGTTTTTTTTTTTTCGCGAAAATATGCAGTTTAAGAAAAAGCGCCATGGTTCAAACAGTGAACCATAGGAAAAATTCTACCTGTTACACCAAGATGTAGGTGTGGACATTTCAAAGGGAACATATCATTTTTATAATAATTTGAGCTGTTATGGCAGTATCTTGTTCATTCGAGATTGTTACTTGCACTTACAGGAATGTGCGGTACACTATACCGAAAATCTCTCGTATTACATATAATACCTGTCTCTGCAAAAGTAGTATTGCGACATGAGGCTGTGAAATATTTTCGGGATTAAAGGTTCATTCAAATTCTACGTAGATATTTTTGAACACAAAATTTGAACTTATATAGGATATCACCGCTAGTCATCCTTTCGAAATATAAAATTATACAACCTGCTACTGTAGCTATATTCACTCAAGTACCTATTTTCAATTCCCTAAACTTGTATAGGCGTCATAAAGTTTGGATATGCCAAGAGTCGTAAGAACTTTGAAAAATTATTATTGCTTGTCTTATATATGAATATAGACATGTTAAAATAATTAATATATTGGCTTCAAACTGACTTTTGCAAAATCCGTCACAACGAATAGCTGTGCATCCTACAATGGAACGAGTGTTGAATCGCCCTTGTTTTGCATTTTACCTTCTGAAGGGGCAAGAAATGATTCCAGTTTTGGAGAATTGCAAGTGTTTAAACAACATCTGATTTCCCAGACGCCTAACTTCGTGAGGTAAGAGGATCGTAAATTCTAGCTGAATGTACCGCACATCCTTGATTTACACAGCTAGTGATTATTACTTGTATCGATCTTCTTGGCTAACTCCGAGATGATTTCCCTGTAGATGATCGGGTCCATATTAGTGCCGAGCATCAATAGGATCCACCAGTCACCCATCTCTACTTTCCGACATAAAGCTCTGCAGACTTCTATTGGAATGCTTCTGTGTTTGGCATGGAGTATTCTCGGCCTGACTTTTGGACACGTGATTATTATTACCCTGTATATCACTAGGACTGTTAGCATGGTGGCGAGGATCATAAACCTGAAAGAAAAAGAGTCATAATATTAATCTTAAAATAACCATAACTTGCTGGATAAATAAGTGATGTACATTAGGGTGTCCAAAAAAATTAAAGTTCTTTCTTTCAAACGCATTCACATACGAGGGATGTCTTTTGAGTTTTGCATATGGAAATAAAACAACGCGGTAGGTAGTTTTAAATGACTTTCTTGTTTTTCGAAGTATTCTCCACGAAGATTAATGCACACGGCATTTTTGAATGCGTGAACTGCTTCTTCTGGTGACTAAACACTGGGCGCTGAAGAAAGACATTAAACGTAAACAGTGATCAGCACGTGAACAGATCCCTCGAAAGCATCCACGGATATACTCCAGTCACTTTAGGTCTAAACATCCTCGGCAGTGTATTTCTAGTGAATCCACAGACCCTTTTTCGTGTCATCTTGAGACTAGAAAAAGGATGACTGTTAAAATAAGTTACCTTGATCTTTCATGAGCTCCCAGTACAAAACATCATCGATATATTTTTGATGTAGGAACAACAAATTGGTTTAGAAAACATCCACTTTGAATCTAAATTGACTGGAGTAACATCGATCTACAGACAAATTCAAGGTCACTAGCAGTCGTCGGCGCTCTACGAATCTGCACAGGTTTGGACTTGTAAACGTGATTGTAGATGACACGACAGGCATCTAACAGTTAATTCACGCACAGGATTGCATTGCATACGCATTACGCATTCAGTAGCGTATACTCGTTTTTCGCGAGTGGAACGTTTTGTTTATATATTGCCTAAGATACGATGTCTGACACAGATACAGCCGACGAAGTGGTTGACATCAGCGCAACCCCACCCAAAAAAAGGGCTAAGAAGCTACATTTAAGTGCAAATGAAAAACAAATAATATTAAATACGTAGTCGTGCCATAAGTTCTGTCCCATGATAATCTCATGATAAAAATGAAACAAGATAAGATATATTTATATGAAAGATATTATTTATTCGACAACATTTTTAGAATTCATAATCAAACAGTTTTATTCAAAATGTCCCCCCTTGGCCTTCACACACTGCTTCAATCTCGCGGGCCACTCATCTATCACTGCACGCACAGCTTCCAAAGGAATAGCTGCCGCTGATCGGATCAAATCCGCTTTCAGGGACTCGATATTACGGTGGGCTTTGGAGCAGGCCAACTGCTCTAGCAGGTCCCACAACTTGTAGTCTAAAGGATTGAGGTCCGGACTCCCTGAGGGCCAATCTTCCGCAGCAATGAACTCTGGCACATTGCTTTCCAGCCAGCGCTGCGTACTCTTAGCCTTGTGAGCGGGGGCGGAATCCTGCTGGTAGACCCAGTGTTGGTTGGCAAACAATGTACCACTTAAAGGCTTGACGATAGGATCCAGTATGTCGCTCTGATAGTTTGCCGCTTTTGTTTTCACGCCCTGTTTACAGAAATGGCGCTGAGTGACCCCTTCGTAGGACACCCCCCACCAAACCATGACTGACGCAGGGTGGTGGCCTCTCTCAACTCTCGGAATGATCTCCGAAGCTTCCTGTGAACTCCTTGCATACACTTTGTCATTTTGTCGGTTGAATTTTTCTTCTATGGTGAAGATTTTCTCATCCGTGAACAAAATCTTTCGGAATCCCCCAGCTGCGTACCTCTCCAAGAGCTTCTTGGATCTTGTCGCCCTGATGTGTCGCAAGGTGGCCGTAAGTCGCTGGCCCGTACGTCTCCGGTAAGCCCCTAGCCCTAGGTCTTGTTTAATGATGCGCGACATCGTCCGGACAGGAATCTTCATTTCCCTGGATAGGATCTTCTGCTTCCGGAGTGGATTCCTTTGAATCCTGGCTTTTACGGCTTTGATGGCTGCTGGAGTCCTTACTTGACGAGGTCTTCCGCTTCTTGGCCTGTCATCAACAGAGGACGTCTCATTGTACCGCTGAATGGTCCTAGACACAAATTTACGCGATATTTGAAGGCCGCGTAAGAGTTCAAAAATCTGACTAGCACTGTGATTACACTTATGTAAAGCTATCACTGCAATACGGTTCTCTGCCTTGCCCCACTCCATCGTTATGCTTCGAGAGATCAATACAAACTGAGGTATATGTAATTACCCGAAAAGCGCTTAATCAACTGACACCACAATGTAAACAATCGGACAAGTATTAACAGGTCTACACTTGTTTGAAAACGAGGGACAGAACTTATGGCATGACTATGTATATACAAAAACCAAATTCAAGAAAAACCCGATTTGGTCGTGGACGAAGTTATAATGTAAGGTAGCACATATTTCGGTCTAGTGTTTATAGGATCATTAAGGAATATAGGAGCACTCACTCACTTTCTGAGCCAAAACCGTATCCTGCAAGAAAAAGGATAACGGACGGAGTAGATGACTTTGACAGAACTGCCATCAGGAGGAAAGTGCATAATTTTTTCTTCAGAAATGAGATACCTACAGTAGATAAGATATTAAGATTAGTTAATGCTGATGAGGATCTTCCATCATTTAAAAGAACCACATTCCGAAAACTTTTGAAGGAACTTAATTTTCGATTCTTGAAACGGGGAAGAAACAGTATGTTAATAGAGAAAGAAGAAATTGTTGTGTGGAGAAGGGAATACCTTAGAAAGATTCGGAAGTTTCGCGATGAAAAAAGAAAAATTTACTATTTGGACGAAACGTGGGTGAATGCTGGACATACTCAAGCGAAAGTTTGGGTCGACAAATCAGTAAAATCATCAAGGCAGGCTTTTCTAGACGGTCTTTCGGCTGGATTGAAAAATCCTGCAGGTAAGCTCCTTCATCTATCCGGCAATTTAATTTTGATAAATTCGGGCAAATAATATGCTGTGATAGCAGATAATGTGTGATATTCTCCAAAAATGGTGCATTCGCAGTGTAGTCATTAGGAAAAAAACTTCGGCCCTCTTTTAAGCGTTATTTTGAAATTTATTATCATTTTTGGGTGCAGTCAATTTGCTTTGAATGGGTTTTGAGAAGTTGCAAACTTCAATTTTCTACGTTTTTCAGTTTTTGATCAGCATTCCGTGACTCTTAAATTCAGCTAAATGAACTCAATTGCCTCATTCCTTCAAATTTAATCAATCCATAGTGTAAGGAATAATTTATTTCCAGGAAAAGGCAAACGGCTGATCATTTGTCACGTAGGTAGTGAAGACGGCTTTGTTCCCGAAGCACTGTGGGCCTTTGAATCAAAAAAGACAGGGGACTATCATGAGGAGATGGACGGCAATTCCTTTGAAAATTGGTTCTCCAAAATGTTACTAAAGCTGGAGAATAACGCTGTTATTGTACTGGATAATGCCCCGTACCATTCTAGAAAAATAGAAAAAATTCCCACAATGGCAACTAAAAAAGCAAACATACAACAATGGCTGGCCTCAAAACAGATCGATTTTGATGAAACTATGGTCAAGGGTGAATTGATAAGTATAGTCAATAGACATAAATACAAATACGATTTTAAAATGATCGACGAAATGGCCAAAAAACAAAATAAAACTGTCTTGAGACTGCCACCCTACCATTGTGAGCTGAACCCTATTGAGCTGATTTGGGCCAACATAAAGCAATACGTGGCGTCGAATTATAATACTTATAAATTTTCTGATGTTAAAAATCTCTTTCACATCGCAGTCAATAGAGTTACGGCAGAGGAATGGAAAAACTGTATCCGCCACGTTCGGGAGAAGGTTGAGGTCAAAATGTGGGATTTGGACAATGTCATCGATACCCAAATTGAACCTCTAATAATTCATTTAAACGATTCAGAAGATTCAAGTTCCTCTTCTGAATGAGTGCGCGCAGCTTACTTACTAATAACTAAAAAGTGTAGTTAACTCATTTGTGAATCTCTAACTGAAATTTACTGTAAAAGATAATAATTATCTTGTATGAAATTTTTGATGACTACCCATAATATCTTGATGCGGTCCTGTAATGTCTCCTGCGCCTAAACACTCACTCACGAGCAATATGCGTGTATTTGTTTGGGTTTAGTTTCTTTCTTCAGCGCCTAGAGTATAGAACCTTTGACCACGCAGTCTGTTTTTTAATTTTCGGGAAAGTAAAGAAATCGTTAGGACTTAGATCGGGACTATATGGAGGATAGTCCAATAATTCCACGTTTTCTTCCGTTAAATACTGCCTTGTTTTTTGGTCTGTGTGCGAGCTTGCATTGTCTTGGTGGAGGATGATTCTTCTTTCCAACATAGTCTATAGCATGAAAGGTACGAGATTTCGTTTGAAATCACATGCCAGAAAGTAAAATAACCCATACCATATTACCGAATCTGAAATAAATTCCAAATTGTGAACCTAGCATTATTTTTCTCAACACTATCTTATGTGTAATGGTTACCGACATTTCGAACACAAATGTTTGAACTGTATTGCGACGACATGATAAGCACTAACGTAAAAATGTATTAAAAAATCGTTATCCATATCAGCATTTAGTTAAATGTTTCCTCTGTCCTACGCCCAGGCAAAACACAACATGCCCAAAAGCGGGATTGTACAGGTCCGTATTTTCCTCAATTGTCTTGGAATAACACTGATCAACAGCCAAAAAATATCCTAAGTAAAATCAACAAAATATTACTATTTTTAATGTGCTAAAACCGGAATGAAACTTATTTTTTCAATATTAGTTCAAGTTTTATAGATACGGTAATTATATGTGTTCCTGCTGTGACAGTGTTAATATACTGTAATTCACAAGAATGCACGTGCTACATTTTTATATTCAGCAAGGAAAGATGATGTAATCGGCATGATTGTGTTACGTTATACATACGTGTACATTACATTGTTTTATATTAGCCATTTTTTCCTCAGTTGGCTGACAGCGTTCATGCAAGATGTCTCGAAAGTGTGTAAACAATCCAGATCAGTTTTGTTACGTGTGGTGATGTGACTTTTGTGTCTCAGAGACAGTCTATTACTCCACTAATAACAAAGGCATATCAGCTTTATTTCGGTTGTAAACTAGGTGATCAAGACAAACAGTGGGCACCCCACATCTGCTGTAATACATGTGCTTCAAGTCTGAGGAGCTGGTTAATGGCAAAAAACGGTCTATGCGCTTTGCTGTCCCAATGGTTTGGAGAGAGCCAACAAATCATATTAATGATTGTTACTTTTGCATGGTACCTTGTGTTGGACAAGCCACAGGTATGTCCAAGAAAAAAAATCGGTTATTAACTACCCAAACATACCATCTGCGATGAGACCTGTGGCTCACAGTGACGAAAATCCTATTCCAAAACCCCCAGAATCCTACACTTGCGAATCAGAAAACGAATCAGATCATGGCGATCGAGTGATTCGTCAGGAAGAAGATATGCCATCAACGTCAAGAGATCCTGATTTTATACCGAGCACGTCATGCCACCAACCGCACAAAATAACACAGTCAGAATTAAATGATCTTGTAAGAGATTTAGAACTTCCAAAATGTAAGGCAGAGTTACTTGGATCAAGACTGCAGCAGTGGAACTTGTTAGAAGACGATGTTTCGATATGTGTTTTTCGTAAACGCGACAAAGATTTAGAACCATTTTTCAATATGGAGAATAACTTGGTTTTCTGCAGTAACATTAACGGCTTACTGGCGGCTTTAAATATAAACTATAACCCAGAAGAATGGAGATTGTTGATAGACAGTTCAACATTGAGTTTAATGGCAGTGTTATTGCATATTGGAAATATTTTACCACCTCTTCCTGTAGGGTATGCAGTTCACATGAAAGAATCATATGACAATATGAAGTACCTATTGACATGCATAAAATACGATGAGCACCAATGGCATATTTGTGGCGATTTGAAAGTTGTTGCACTTTTACTTGGGCTGCAGCTAGGCTACACAAAGTTTTGCTGTTTTTTGTGCGAATGAGACAGTCGGGCAAAGGCACTTCATTACACCAGACAAAACTGGCATGTTCGTCAATTCCTAGAGCCAGGTCAAAAAAATGTACAGCATATGCCATTAATAGATTCGAAAAAAAATTTATTAACACCACTGCATATCAAGTTGGGCCTAATGAAAAACTTTGTCAAGGCATTAGATAGAGATGGGTCAACTTTTCAATACCTGCGTCAGAAATTTCCAAGACTAAGTGAGGCAAAGGTTAAAGAAGGTATTTTTGTTGGGCCACAGATTCGAAATAACTGCTTGGAATGATTTCCGTCTGGTGGTCACTAATTTCTTGGGAAATAGAAAAGCTGACAACTATAAAACCCTTGTCAAAAATATGCTGTCATCGTATCAAAAGATGGGCTGTAATATGTCTCTTAAGATACATTTCCTACACTCACACCTGGACTTTTTTCCTGACAATTGCGGAGCCGTAAGTGATGAGCACGGCGAACGTTTTCATCAGGATATTTCAACAATGGAAAAAAGGTACCAGGGAAAGTGGAATCCTTCCATGCTTGCAGACTACTGTTGGACTCTTGGTAGAGATGCTCCAGAAACGATCCATAAAAGAACAGCAAAAAGACAGCGCATATAGTGATTCTTATAAGTATATGAATCTAGTTCCTTTTTTTAATATATCCTTAAAAATAAGAAGTTTTTTTTCTAAACCGCAACTAATTTTTTTATTTCATTGTCATTTTTGGATTCAGCGCCCCAAAATTAACAAAGAAGTGCACTTTTCCCACAAGATACAATTAAAAAACTAAAATTTGTTGTCCAGTGTAATCTAACAAAATAAAAGATTGTTTTTATAGAAAGAAGTGCACATACTTTTCACAATTCTTTATTCGCTGGAGTACTTGAATCATCGTCCGAATGATTAATATTAATTTATTGTAGTCACTTATATTCTTATACCGTATCTCATGTATGATGGGCATTTAATTTTATTCTATTCTATGCTTGATATATCCTTTTCTTTATTGCTCACAACACAAATGCAACTACCAGTTTTGTAATGTCATTTTAGTTTTTATTATCCTTTATCTTAGATGTACTCTTTTTTAGATTAGCCTTTTGATTTATGTTATTTATTATTGAATTTAGTTAAAGTGCCACAATGTCAGTTCAAGGTTTTCGCATTTCTACCAGTGATCGTGTAACACCAAATTATGTCAGTGCGTGCGTAAGAAGTGCATAGTGCATTAGCAAGTACTTGATAGACTTTATTTATATCTGCGGATAGACAACTGACAATAATGGGATGGCCACACACAAGATTTTTCTTTCGTGGCATTACTTTTATTTGTCATTGATACTCCTTTGTGGCAACAGTCTTTGAAAATTTATATTTGCATAATTGAATTTGACAAATAAATTATTATTATTAATTATTACAGGTTCAATTTGAATACTATCGATCATATTCTCCAGATCCCACATCTTAGTTTAGATTGTCTCTTGAACGTGACGGGTACAATCTTTTGCCTCCACTCTTTTAAAAGCTTCATAAACAAATTTTCACGTCTGAAAGTTTGAATGTTCTATCTTTGAAGCCACATAGTTTTTTATATTTGCCTAAATCATTTCAATCGCATTTACTTCGCAGTGTTAGGGAGGTAGGTAACCTTAAAACAGTCTTATTTTTGTTTTTAGCCATTTCGTCAATAACATTAAGATTATATTTATATTTGTGCTACCTGACTAGATGATAAATTCTGCTTTGACCATACTTTCATTGAAACTAATGACTTTTGATAGAATAGAATAGAAATGTATTGGTTCCTCAGTTATAAACGAAAAACAAAGATATTTATAACAGAGATAACACGTCATTGTGATGCAGTGTAAATAACTCACAATTTTTCTAAAGTACATACAAAACAAACAATCATAGACAACATACAACAACAGCGATATTAATTCTTACGGTTTCACTAGAGCACAGAACTCTTCAATACTATATGGTTCCATATCGCATATATATTTATGAATGCTTTTTTGAATATAGTGAATGCTGAAATCGATTGAAGATGTCGAGGTAAAGCATTGTAAAGTTTCAGTGCAGAGTAATGTGGACATGTTTCGGTAGAATTCAGCTTATGTGATGGGTAGAAGTATTTCTGACTTTTGCGAGTATTGTAACTATGGTTGAAGACGTTTTTTCCAAACTTTTCTTTATGGCTAAAGATAAATAGTAGAGTGTTATAGATATAAATTCCCGGTAATGTTAATAAGCGGTTGACTTTAAATATACTTCTACATGACTCTCTAGGTTTCATTTTGAACATTGCTCTTATTATCCTCTTTTGTATGATAATAATTCTATTGGCTGCGGGACTATTACCCCTAATTGTTATTTGATAAGACATAATAGAATACGCAAGCCCATAGTAAGCAGCCTGCACAGCTTGCAAGGGCAGGTGACAAGTGATTACTCGTAGTGTATAGCATGCTTGATTGAGTTTTGAAGCCATACTCTCAATGCGCTTATCAAACTTAAGACAGCTATCGTAGGTGACACCTAGGAGGTTTGTATCGCTTTTGATACATAGAGGTTCATTAATTAAGGGTAGTTCTTTTGTGGCATGGCTTGACTGAAATAGGACACAACACGTTTTTTGTATGTTGAATGCAGCCAGTTTTGAATGTGGTTTATTTGTGTCTCTATCAAGATTCGGATATCAGACGTTCCTTTATATGGTATCAGAATAGTTATATTATCTGCATAGATGAAACTTAGATTTTGCGTGTTTTTCGTGGTGGTGAATATATCATTAATATAAATAATAAACAATGTTGGGCCCAGTGTACTGCCTTGAGGAACACCAGTACTATATGTCCGAGGACTAGATGTTATTCGTTTCCCGGTTTTGTTGTCTTCTATTACAGAGATACGATTTAAGCCAGTAGTACGCATTCCCGCGTATACCATATTTATATAATTTGTTTAGCAATATTTCGTGGTCAATGCAAGCAAATGCTTTTGACAGGTCCACAAATAAACCACATGCTGCTCCTTGATTCTCTCGATATTCATGGTTTGCTGTGGTGAAATCGAACAGTGCCGTGTTCACACCTCTACCTTTCATGAATCCATGTTGGTTATTGGTGAAGTATTTATTTGAGTGGAAAAAATTAATAAGACGGTTGTTATAAGCAATTTCAAAGATTTTTGAAAAATTTATCAGTAAGCTAATAGCACGGTGGTCGTCCATATCATCAGGATCGCCTTTTTTATAGGTTGGTAATACGAGTGCAATTTTTAATGCTTCTGGGAATTCTCGGTCACTAAGAGATGTATTTAGGATACTAAGAAGAGGGTCAAATATTATGGTTATCACTTTTTTAATGATGAAAATTGGGACGTTGTCATCACCACAACTTTTTATGTCTTTTAGGTTGAATACAATTCTGAGCAATACGTCATGATTTGAGTTGAAAATATTGTTTTATTTTTTAGTTCGAGGTTGCAGTCATAATTCAAATTTGGTAGTTTTGAGAGGAGTTTTGGAGCAGCTTCGACAAAGCTTTTATTGAAATGGTTTGCTAAAGCATTTACATCATTATGTACCGGTAAAACAAACTGATCTGACGACGCGTTGGGTGTGGTAGTTAGTTCTCGTACTGTATTTCAAATAATTCTATTGCCATGATTATTTACTTTGTTTAAATAGTATTGCGATTTTGAATCCTTGAAGAGTTTCTCATATGTCTGATTATAACTTTTAAAAACATCTTTATATGAGCCATTGTTGAATTTCTGCTTTTCTTGTGGACACTATGGATTTTTTTCTGGTGTGGTATGCAGCATTATCAAGGAAAACGACGGCATTGTCGCCAAGCTTTGGGAGCGTTTCTTCAAATCATCGTCCAAATGAACTCCCGTCCATTTCTTCATGGTAGTTGGTCGTTTTCGTTGACTCAAATGCCCATAGGGCAGTGGGCACAAAGCCATCTTCACTGCCAATGTGACAGATAACACATCGTTTCCCTTTTCCTGGGAATAATTATTCCATATACTACTCAAGAAAACTAATAATATACTAAGTGACATATAAATCCGAACACCCAGTTTAAGTGGTTTTATTTTAATAAAATTTTGTATAAGTACTTATTGAAGCATAATGAGTAAATGATAAAAATTTCAAAATGATTACACTGCTTTAAAGCCCTTTGACCTTTAATAATGTGTGGATGCACCCTGATGTGCTACGCATTCTCCAACGCGCCTAGGCATGCTTCTGATCAGGTGGTCAATGTCCTCCTGTGGTATCTCATTCCAGGCAACCACCAACTCCTCTCGAAGTGCTTCTAGAGTCTGAGGAGGACGTTGCAAATTGAGCAATCTCCTGCCCATCATATCCCACACGTGCTCAATTGGGGATAAGTCGGAAGATCTTGGTGGCCATGGTGACAATGTGACATCATTATGTTGAAAGAAGTTTATTGTGACTCTTGCAACATGTGGTCGGGCATTATCTTGTTGGAAAGTTGGATCTGCCAGGGTGTCAAGATAGGGTAAAAGATGGGGTTCTAGAACTTCGTGGATATAACGCTGCGCGTTCATGTTACCTCTGATGAATATTAAAGGTGACCTGGAACCATAAGCTATAGCACCCCACACCATAACTCCAACAGTGTGATGAACATGTCTTTCAACAAAAAACTGTGGATTCCTCCTTTCACCACGTCGCCTTCTAACCCTGGCACGACCATCGTGCATGCCTAAACAAAATCGAGACTCGTCACTAAAGACAATACTGTTCCATTCCTGATCCCAGAGTGACCGTTGTCTGCACCACTCAAGGCGATTACGTCGGTGTTCTCGAGTTAAAGGGAGGACCCAGTGTGGCCGGTATGAAAACAAGCCAAAAGTTCTCATTCGTCGGTAAACACTTCGCTTGCCAATAGGTCTTCCGTGTTCTGCAAACCATTCATTTGCAATGGACCTGGTAGTGGAGAAACGGTCCCTTAAGGCCAATAATCTTAGGCGGCGATCTTCACGGTCTGTTGTTCTACGGCGGCGTCCAGTGCCCCTTGCTCTTTGCGTACGGCCTTCTAGAAGCCATGCCTGACAACACCTAACCACAGTGTCTACACTTCTTTGCACTCTAACTGCAATTGCCCGAAAAGAAGGTCCAGCTTCCCGAATTCCCACTATACGGCCCCTATCAAACTCACTAAGTTGACGAAATCGTACAGGTCTCCGTACTCTAGGCATCGTAACCGATCGTAAAGGATGTCAAGAACCAAAATTCGCCAAAGTTGATTCTTTACTGCGGCTGAAATATTCATTTTTAGAGCGTTAGTGAATTAAAAAAAGCAGTATAAAAACCGGAATGTCCAACTGATAAGGCTGAAAAATTGTTCAGTTAGATAAAGATAAATACATTCACCAACTTTTATTAAAATAAAACCATTTAAACTGGGTGTTCGGATTTATATGTCACTTAGTATAATACAGAGTATCTAACAGGTGTTTACAACACAAATGACGAATATGGTTAGATACACGTACTGACGGATTATTTAGGCCAGTGGTTAGTCTATCTAACAAAGCTTGTCTTCATGTTTTAATTGTAGAGTCAGTGCATGTGTACTGCATTTATCCAGGTTTCATCCAAGTAAAAAAATCTTCCTGCCCTGGTCGCGGTATTTCTTTATCGATTTTAAATAATTAGTTCTCCATGACATAATCTCTTGACTGTCCATCAAAATATTATTTCTACCCCGTTTTCTATTCTCAAAGTGAAGTGAGTAAATTATGAAATGTGGTCTTTTCGAGCGCCTCTAAGTCTTCATCACCATTAACCTCCTGTACTATTTTATCGATGGTGGGAAGTTCCTGCCTTTCAATATGGTGACGGATTCAATACCATGAATATTCATTTCAGAATGCTCTAAAATTTCGCTTTTATAAACGTTAAGGACAATTTCTTTTGCCTGAATATTCTTGTCACGTTTTCGGGGAGTAGACATCATTGAAGAGGAATCATGGCTGGAGGAAGCATTGGAAGGAATACTCTCAGTTTCATCTGCTGTAACCGTAGACGACATGCTATAAACACACGCTGTGTATGCACCGAATATGAACAGCAGCTGCCGGCGTCGGCGTGCCGGCGATACCCCGAGCCTGAGTTCTACCCTGTCGAATCCTGCACTTGTTCGTTCTTTTATCGCCGAACGACCAATAGCTATTGCAACGCTTAGGCGGCTGCCGCTTTGCCGCGCTGCATCTTTGTTGTGCCGGAGCGTAAACGGACTACGAACAGGGTATAGTCTCTGTACTAACACATCAATGTTTATAAAGTAAAACAAAATAGTGACTATAAGCAAAATATATACTCACCAGAACCAAATGAAGATGTAAGTCTTCTCGTTTACAATATTGAGCGGTAGCACGCACAAACTGTCGTGTTTCTGTATACTTCCGGAAGCACCATACTTGTGGAAGATGCACTTCGTGACCCTAGGGAAGACGTAAACCATTGGGTCGATTCTGTCCTCTTGCGCTTGCTCGGAGAAGTTCATCACCCTCCAACCGTAAGAGATGAATTCTCCGTCGAAGAACCTGTTCATGACGTAGAGCTGCGTCAGGATGTTGATCAGGCACAGGCACTCGCAGGCCCAGTATCTGATGGCGTACAGGTTGTGTTGCTGTGGAGGAAAGAAATTATCTAAGTTCAAGATTAAGTAGGTATTTCGGAAACATCATAAAATAGTTGAAGCTGTAACGGTAAAAAGAAAAATTATGAGGTTGAGTAAGATACTCTATGGTGATGCAAACCTTAAAGAAATCAGAAATCATATCAAAGTTTGGAGAACCAAGGAAACTTACTTAGATAGTAACATTGTATTTACTGAAGAAGGTCCCCGTTTGATACACCTTCTGAAAGGTACAAAAGGTACTATAAATGTTTTGCAATGCAGCTGTATTCATTGACTACGTTTAAAGTAGTTTCCAACTAGCAAAGTAGTGCTATAAGCTTTTGGTAAAAGAACCGTTCAGCAATAAAAGCTCTCTATTGTTGTTGCCTGAACACCAAAATGTTGGCTATATGTTGTGTGGAATGCAAATTTGCTTTCTGCAACATATTTGCTCTAAAATGAGGTGTTTAAAATATTCTTATAGCATAGTAACACACCTTATACGACAAATTTTTAGCTGTTGCATAAACGTTTATACAACTATTTTATACGGCATATTTGCAAGTTTGTCAAAATGGTTGTGTTGTGGCACCCATGCTAACGTTTATAGCCTTGTTGCTTTGCTGTGCAATTTACTACATTAGCCAACAAATTGCTCCCAACGGAAGCACTTATACAACTGTTACATATGCTAAATATGTTGGTAAACAACTTCACCGTAACCTAACTTTCTGCTGTCATATTTTTGTTAAAATGCCATAACCAATGTTTTAAGACAAACAACGCATGCATATCGGTTCAAAAGGTTTTATCAACTGTTCAAACAGAAGATATAGATCTGGTACAAATTCTGGGTAAATCATTCGACTCTGTCGGTATTTCATTTCTGATATTTATCAAATTGTTGTATAACACCTGCAGGCAACACCAAAATATTCTAATAAACTAAAGACAACATGGACGATGCCATGATTATACACATCCACCCGCCATATTGGGCAAACATTTATTCCTCTATTTGATATTAAATAATTATGTTTCAGTTCGAAATTACAGATATAAAGTGAGAAACATTAGTGTAATTGTGCCTAAATATAGGATTTGTGGAAGATATAACGCAGATAAGTTCAGTTTTCCATCTTAAAAATCTAGACATAGGTATACTTTTTCTGAAGTCACTTGAAACACTGTGAAATACCGGGTGCGTTTTATATATCTATATTTAACACGCTCTGTTACTGCAAAAATCGCCAAATTTCGCAGCAAATATCCCCCGTATAAGATCAAAGGCAGTTTCACCGGTCCACGTGGAGTAAAGCACGCCTATGCGTGGACAAAGCCAATGAGAAAGCGTGTATTTCAGAGCTCGGAACAAGTGCAGGTGGCTACTGAAAATTGAAACATTTTAGCCAGTGCCGTGTAGCGGTGAATAAACGTGTTTTCTTTAGTCTGTCCGTGTTTTTTCATAGATTTTATTAGTTTGTGTGTTTTTGACTTTTGAAGACTCAGTTTACTTGTTGATTTAATTGTTGTGTTGATTGTTCTTGTGTGTCCTAAATATGGCTCTTTGGAGACCTTGGGAAAATGCTCCAAGCCAAGAGGAGGATGAACCTGTGCAGGCAGAATTCTTTCATAAAGATTTAGAGGAACAGACGCAAAGAGTAATCCTAAATATGTATGATTGTCTGAGAAACGAAAATCCAGATTCCTCGCAAAATCAAATTTTAAACAGAATTTGTATCCTGACAAAAATCAGTCGGTCTACCATTTATCGGGTTATAAAAAGGGGAGATGTAGTCAACCATTCCTTCCACAGAAAGCGCATAGGGCAAAAATTAAAAAGAATAGACGTGGGTTTTCAGGAAGTTATTCGTCGTATAATATACGGATTTTATAAAGAAAATTTGGTGCCCACGTTGGAAATGATACGGGATAAATTAAAAGATTATCCTGAAGATTTTTATAATTACAAATGCTTAGACTCACTGCACTGTATTGTAAAACTGTGTGGTTTTCAATTCAAAAAATTAGATAAGAGAATGGTGATTATGGAGTCGTCTCGAATCGTTGAATTGCGCCAAGAATTTTTGCACAAAGTTAAAATCTATAGAGAGCAGAAAAGAAATCTGATTTACTTGGATGAAAAGTGGTATGATACCCATGATGTTGTGCAGTACGCCTGGGTTGACGACAGCAACAAGTGCATTTTAAATGCACCATGCAACCGTGGAAAACGAATCATTATTCTCCATGCTGGCAGTGAAAATGGATTTATACCTAATGCCTTGCTGTTATCTGCCAAAAATATCAAAGAATCATGTGCCGACTATCATGAGGGCATGACCTCCGACTTATTTGAAAAGTGGATAGAGCAGCAGTTAATACCAAACATTTCCCCAAATTCAGTGATTATTATGGACAATGCGCCATACCATTCCCGACAGAAAAACAAAATTCCGAATACAGGCACAAAAAAACAAGACATTATTGATTTTATGAAGGATAAGGGAATGGAAATACCACAAAAATCAACCAAAGCCATATTATTGGATCTTATTAAAAGACAAAAATTTGAAAAAGAGTATGTTGTTGACAATCTGCTTCAGCAAAATGGCCATGAAGTATTACGTCTACCTCCCTATTACTGCATTTTTACCCCGATTGAGTTGGTCTGGGCTGCTTTAAAAAAAAAGTAAGAAAACATAATCAGACCCCTCAATTAAGTGAATCGCTATTGGCCACAATAAGAGATGCAGTATCTCATATTGCTGCCACAGACCTATGGAAGCAGTGTTCTAGGCATATTATTGAAAAAGAAAATGAATATTGTGTTTTGCCTCCTGTAAATCCCGTTGTAATTCCTCTACAAGATGACTCTAGCGACAGCTCCGAAGGCGAGGATGATATATAAATACCTATAATGTAAGTCTTTATATACCTTTTTATATACCTACCTGCTATGTAAATATTTGCCTATGTCAAACGTTGGATTCTGTAATTTTTCCATTTCTTAACTTTCAGTCAACATAAATTAAACTCCCAATATAAGTATTTTTTATCCCAAATCAAAAAAATAAGAAGATAGTAAAATCCATTTATTGTGATATAAAAACATTATTGTTATCGTCCTAAATAAATACCGCACGCCTATGATACGTCATGAAATTAAAAAGGACGCGCCGACCAAAGGTTTTTATGCTATTTCAAGTGACTTCAGATAAACCATACTTTTGATCATTATCAAAATATGAATCAAATACGAAGCCCGTAGAAATTGCGTAACTATTTTGCACGATAATCGCAATAAAATCTGCTGCGCAAGTAATGCAATAGCCCTATATCACAGTGTAGAAGTCTATCATATGCCTGGGTATGAAATTCACAATGGCCGATATGTAAGTAAACAAGATGACTGTATTGTGTTAGTTATATATTCTTCACTTCGTCTACACAATACATAAGAAATAGTTTGGTTGCAATAAAGTAGAATCACGTAACAGAATAGTTGTATAGTTGACAAAAACTGAATCTTGCACTGACGCAAATGTCCTATAGCGGCTGCAAGAGGCTTACACTTTTGTTGTATAACTGTTACCTGCAGCCCTTATACAACCTCTTAAATGTCTGAAGTGTCCTATTAGGTGTGCCCATTCCGCTTGTATAGATGTTCTAAGAGGGTTTTGCTAATAGTCTTACAGTATACAATGCTGTTTAAGGAATACTGTATAATCATTCTTGCAACTCTAATAGGAGTGATAATTGTTAGTTGGGTTTCCACCTAATTGAATACACTTCTCCATCCGCCAAAACCACTCCTTAAATCAGCTATTCCAAGCTTCACCCTTGAGTGAGGCAGACTCGTTGACCCAAGCCCTCAAGAGGTCCTCATCGCTAGGAAACCGCTTTCTTTTTAGCTTCATTTTCACATGCGGAAACAGTGCAAAACCGCAGGGCCAAGATCTGGACTGTAAGGAGGATGCTCAATAAGTTTCAATCCAGTAGTTGTCAAATACTCGGTGCAGGCTTTGGCGAGATGAGCTGGAGCGTTGTCATGGTGGAGGTACCAAGTGTCCATTCTTGACTTTGGCCGGATTTTTCATAGACTCTACGACTTTAGGCAGGCACTGTTCCGTGTATCACTTCGCTGTGACTGTCTTCTGTGTGTCCAAAACGACGCGCTCCACAGTCCCGCTCGATTTGAAAAGTACAGCTATCATTTTTTTCTTAATAGATCGGGATTTTCTGACAGATACAGATCTGTCATCAAAGACCCAAACTTTGTTTTAACCCTTGGTCGGCACACCGTAATAATAGAGGCAAGTCTCGTCATCTGCCACGATGCTGTTCACATACCGAGATTGTCCCTTATCAAACATTTTCAGCATCTTTCGGCACCAATTCGTACGACGAGTCTTATGCTCGTCCGTCAGACTAGGCGGTGCGCAGAGGGAAAGTTTCCTTACGTGTAAACGGTCATGCAGAATTGAATTAATTGCTGGTGGATGAAGATGTAAGGTCTGCCCTATCTGTTGGTATGTCACTCTCCGGTCTTCTTCAAGCATTTTCCATACAGTAGTAATGTTTTCCTCTGTTCCTGACGTTCGCGGCCTTCCTTCCCTTTCAGCGTCCTCTAGAGTGAAATTGTCGCTTTGGAATTCTCTGAACCACCTCAATATAGTCGTACGATGAGGACAATCATTCTTTAATGCAAGCGTCATTTCTTCTAATCACTGGTCTGTGCTTAACCACCCGTAAAGTTATACCGTAACACTGCCCTTATCTCACTACGTGACCATGGTGCCACAGTAAGCCCTTTACACTGTCAATATGAATAAACAACTAAATCAACAGACGTGCCGCTGGCAGCTACTATGCAGTCATGGACATGTATCAACATGCAGCCTCCTGCGTCCGTTTTTTAAGTCATACCTCAAAACTTTTATAGTACCCTTTGTACTCGTATATGCTTATACTTTAAGGTGAAGATTTTAGTTAACAGAATTCTTAAT